TTGGCCCGACCTCATTTCCAAAACATTCATGCAGAACTGTCAATTAGGATTGGTGGATATCATTAAACTGCTCAAGTAAATATGCAGGACAACGATTTGAGTTATCATTGAAAACTGAAAAGCACAGTACTACATATCAGCAATATGATGACCTGGGATTGATACAAAGTTGCTGCAGTACTGCACAGTCATAGACAGATAAAGCCTTAGAGATAATAATGAAACTAGCATGGCGTATTGTAACCAACTTATCCCTTATTCCACCAATATTAGTGCTTGCCAATGCATGACCTCCGCTTCTGCAGATTTTCCCTAGCTATCAAGTACTGAGCCTAGACGATTAACACTAACCAGTGTGTAAGGATGTTCAGTGTCTAGCACTTTTTACTAGTGAGTAGCCATACTTTGATTAATAGGAATATGAGCCTAAGGATTGGGGCGTGGACGAAGCTATTCTTTGTTTGAAAGTTGAGTTGCCAACTCATTAGGATTGTTAAAGAAAAACATACTTATTGTATAAAAAACAGGTTTCAAACGAACAAGGGGTTAGTATACACCGTGAGGGATTGACGGGCAATGTAACCGGTCTCCATACTTACTCTTACATCATCGTAAACCAATCTACTTGGTCTTTAGGGACCATCCGCACTCCACGAAGTCTCTCAATTAGGCGTACGACTTGCGACTTTTTCCCTATCCACGTCACACGTCACTTTCCATTCTTAGGTCTCTTGTTTAGCTGATTCATTGTACCACTGCCACTTAGTGATTAATGAAAACTTTCCGGTCAACGGTTTATACATGTTAATCGTCAGCCCCAATCAGTCAAACCGTCGAGATGAGAATCTGGAGTCTACGTACACCAGCAAATCTTTACTAGGATTGAAAACCAATGGATAATATTTTTCGCCTTGTGCGGATGTTTCGAAATAATGGTTCATATGACCCTCAACTGAAAGCTACATACGCTCACCATGACAATCCAGTCTACGCGTGCGACATTTCATAATGTCAAGCACTAGCGCAATGCGACGCTGAAATTCATGGTGGAGTGTCTATCGCCTTCAGTGATCCCTCTCTAATGTAATTATACATATCCTTTGTACACTCCTTTGCAAAATCAGTTTCCCTCATAAACACACTCAATTTCTTTTCTAATCCATACTTGAAACGTACTAGTTCGTATACGGTTAAGCTCCTCAAGTTTCTCTGTTCTAGAATGTTCGCTGAAATAATACGAAACACCGATGTGACCAAACCTCATTGTAAATTACATGTATCATGACATCTGGGCGATGATTTTCCCGGAGATCGTGGACAACAGAATACGATATATTGACGCCGTACCGACCGCATGCTGCGTCCAAAGATTCAAAGGCAATAAATCTCCTATACCTGCCATTGGGCGCATGCACGGCATGCATGTGATGGCCTTGCAGATAGGCATCATGCGCTGGACGGGGTAGAAAGCCTCAAGGCTGAAAAAACTGTATTGCTAAACATTTCTTGTCTTCTATCTGAGTAGGACATAACCTCTTCCATGGTCAGAAAAAAATTCCTTCGTCATTTGCTTGCTTTCGCGGCACACTCTGTATCCGTCCATCTCGACACAATCTAGCCACTCTGAAAACCCTCTGTGAGATTCGTCAAGGATCCACCGCCACCAGGAATGGGAGACCGCAACAAATACACTGTTGGATGGATATGCGCCATCACTATGGAATATGTTGGGCTTTTGACCAACTAGACCAAAAAGCTGCGCGCATACTAGATGATCTAGTATGGATGTAAATAGCTGGCAAAGGTGATATGTGATGTGAGGTGATATTCTCAACAGAATATGTGGCCGCAAAAGCCTTCCTGGACAAAGAGCACGAGAGCCTGGAGTATGGATCTGCCAATGATAATAATATTTATACACTGGGTGAGATGGGGAAACACCAACGACACCACGGAGCGGCACTACAAAGGACCGAGCTCACACAACAGCGATTCTTGCAGCCGTCACAATTATCACTATTTTAAAGGACAAGGATGATCAGCCAACTGTACACCAAATTCCTCCAACTAATAGTATTATAGTAAGAGACTTTACATCAATCTAATCCCAGCAGACTGATATCCAAACATCAGGATTAGTAAGAAAGTATTAGTTAAACAAGTCACAACAGAAGCAGTCCACTTTAGTAAGAGCAACATCTGAATATCTATTATTTGCTGTCCCTACTTAAAATCTCTAATCTAGTAACACACCCTGTGCCCATTAACACTCGCATCATTCATTCTTAGTCTAGAGTATAGGATATTGTGACGGCTGGGCATGGCTCTGCGTTCCCGTTTCAGTTCACGGATAGGGCTAGGAGCCGTGTAACCCTATCCGCGCCGTATTGGGAAGTGATATCAACATCAGACGTCGGAACTGGATAGGGAAAGGCGCGTTGCACAGAGATTTACATGAGAAGCGAGAACCAGACCTTTTACTTCATTTCTTCCTTTTTCCCCTTTATGCTTAATATTACCTGTCGACAAGCACCTCTTGTACGAGATAGTTAGCTAGAATAGCGTACTCAAACCAAGCAGATTGGCACCGTCACAATATAATAATTTAGAGAATAGTAACTACTGTGAGCACGGTCATGCAGAAGACCAGATAATAAATCTCAAGTTAGAACATTGTCCAGTAAAAAGATAGAAATGGGCTGACACTAGTATATATCCTTGTCATCAGTGTCAACGAAGACTGTAGGAACAAGATCATCCAATAGCATTATTATAGAGTTAGCTAAATCTGGAATCTATAGTACAGAATTTAGCTAGTCCAGAGACAATCCGTATCGATGGTCGTCTTCTCTGTAAAGTATCCTTGGGCCAAGTTAAGTATTACTGTTGGTTTATGGAGAATATAGGCTCAACTAATCATAACCTTGCTCTATCTGATTGTCTGGTCTCATTTCAGGGCTAGGCTAATGAGTGGAATTAATGGACTAATATGTCTGACCTTCAAACTATCAATATTAAAGGCTTATTTACTCGGACACTCAAGCCTTACGGATATACATGGGGTTGTTCATTCAAAGAGAAATCCACACCACTTCAGATTGATCGACCATCTCATGAAGAGAACTGCATTCTAGGTGAAGATGACATTATAGGGAATGATGAATCCTCATACTTTGGGGGAATCTCTGCATCGGTCAAAGGCAACAATTATAGTCCTCAGGAAGATAAGCTAATTATACATCTAAAGGAAGTCAGAAACCTGCAATGGTCGGACATCGCCACACAATTTCCAGGAAGAATGAAAGGTGCTCTATAGGTCTGATACAGTACCACACTTAAAAAGAAAGAAGACAGTAAATAGTCAAATATTAGAAAAAAGAGTCGCAGAAAATCAAGAACTTAAAAATTGAGTGTTGGTATAGTTCCTGTCCAGCAATGTGTGGAGAGCCCAACTCCCAGTCGCCAATATAACCCACAACAGTCGCGACATTCTTTAGATTATTTTGTTCCAGCCTAAACTCTTGACTTGAGATATTAAATATTAATGGTGACTATATGTATGGACGAGATGAGCATTGTATTGAGGTCGTTGGGATCTGATAGGAAAGCCACGTATACGATACCAAATATGAATTATCAAGTTGATCTTCAATTTAAGCACTTTTATTCTACTGTATCAAGACTATCAACGGACGACTTACTTTTGTTATGGAAAGCTACGAAATGCAGTCAAACTGAACTATGAATCTATCTAGCAAGCGTGATTCAGGGGATAGTGACTATTGTGAGTATAGTCATGCAGAGAGTCGAATGGAAGACTGTGAACCAGCAGCTCGTCCAGCCAAGAGACAAAGGTGGGTTGTGGTATGGATACTTCTCAATTGCATAGAGAAAGAGTGCGGGCACAAGCTTACCCAACAAGCTCTCTGCCGAGATTGGCGAGCCCTGAGTCCATAATCCAGAGACTATACGTATCCAGGGCCAATTTCTGCGCAAAGTCTCTTTGAGCCACGTTGAGTATTGCTGCTGGGTTACAGAAGATATACATTCGACCGCCTCCAACCCTGCCTCGTCCGACATTTTGGCATCAATTAAGAGGCTAGCGGACGAAGGGGGGCAGTCGACTGGCATGTTTGACTTCCAAGCTATTGACATAGAAGGCTTATTTACTCGTGAACTTAAGCGATGTGGATATATATGGAGCTTTAATTTTAAAGAGAAATACACGAAATCGCCAGAAAATTATACCTTACCTCAGGATGCTATCTCTAACTCCAGATGACTAGACTTCCGCATGACCCAATATAACCCGGACCCAACCCGGGCTGGGTTGGGTTTTGGGTCGAAGACTCTGACCCAGCTTTGGGTCCGGGTTACACTTGGGTGACCCAGCCTGGGCAAGTGTTGGATACACCAGCGAGTGTATTTGGGTCCGTCTCTGCAACTACCTCTGGGAGTATTGTATAGAAAAGTGCTACCAATGCCAACACCTCTGATGCAGCGGACAAGGTTGATCGAGCATTAGCCGTTCTGGCTGTGATCAACAAGGAGTGTTACAAACAACCTTGATACCATAACTATGAGTTTGCGGATGCGTAAGCCGTAGTTGGACAAAAGATTACCCTCCACCATTGGATTACACTGCTGATGCAGCTGATAACGTCGCGGCTCGTCTTTCTGCCTGGAAACACGACTTGGGACAAAATTCGTCCCAGTTATTAGTGTACTGGATCCCTCCAGATCTTGCTGAGGTGACTCGCATCATGGCTGAAGCTAGTCCTTGTACGCCATCTACTGGGCACGAAGGTGACCTAGCCAGACAGGCGAGAGCAAAATACTTTCCCCCCAGTAATGACATGAATGTTCCTCCCTAGATCTATTGATGTCTGGATGGTTTATACAAGTACGCAAATATTCCTGATGATCAAATCCTGCTCGGGGATGCCCCATCTGTAAGCTTGTTCAAGCGAGATTCTTCTTCCCAATACTGGCTATCGACCATGCAGCAGCAAGGGTCCAGCCCCTATGCACCTGCGGGATATCAAGTTTTCCGCAACGTGAAGGATTATGGAGCCAAGGGTGAGATCAAAAGCCACTTTTTATACAATGACAGTTATTAATTACTGGATACATAGGCGACGGAGTGACCGATGATACAGGTAAGGGCCTTGATAGCAGCTATCTGTCCAGGAGATTCTCTAACATAGTTGCAGCGGCAATCAACAAGGCCATTTCAGACGGCGATCGCTGTGGTGCTGACTGTGGATTAAGTACTGTATATCCTGCCATCGTTTTCTTCCCTGGTGACCCAAGGGTTTGCGGACCTGGAGAATCAGTGGCTTCCGCAGAAGGGCACCCAGCTCGGAGCTAAAGTGCTTGTGACCATCCAAGGGCTCCGAAGGTCGATGGCGAAGCACATGAAGCTTGATATCACCAACCTCGTGTAGATCACATTCTAGACGGATATGATCAAATCGCCATGGCATCGATAACGTATTTTACGCGTCAACTGGCCAGCTATCAATATCAAATTCAATCGATCTGTTGTTATAATAAAAATATTTCCTGTTTTCTAGTAAGAGTCTTAGTGTTATATATATACTAATACATATCAGAATCAAACCAGGGAACGTCGTCTGGTCCTTTCATTGTTCCACAGACATCATCCAGCCCGAGAGCGCGCCCAATACGAGTAAGGCTCCAGAGATCACTCAGATATAAGCGTAAATATCCCGGGTAGTATTGCGTATTGTAACTGCTGCCCCCTCGGTAATTCGGGTCTACCACCGTGACCCAACTAGGGTGGCGGATAAAAGATTGTAAAGCGCCTTCATCAATAACTAGACACCACCGAAATCGAACTTCCTGATTTCCGTTGGTGTCACTCTCCCGGAACGCCCTGAAATGCTTACGGATCTCGTCCAGAGTTGCACCGTTGAACTGAGCAGGATCATTGAAAACTAGAGTGCGGTATCCCTCCTTGAAGATCCGGGATGGTTCATCGTCATGGAGATCTGAGCCTAAGCCTGCGTAGGTATTCTTGGAAATCGCGTCGAGAAAGGCATCCCAATGCTGGTCAGATTCTGGGGTGTAAACGGTGCGGTAAATGGTATATCCCCACGGCGATTGAGAAGTGAGTTCTTTGTGTAGGAATCGCACAACTTCGTTTTTCGTGTTTTCCCACCACGGCTTCGAGCTTAGATGGCGGAGTCTTTGATCAGTTTCCTTTTTGCTTTCACCCGCCGGAAAATCATCCGACGACCAGGGCTCGTGGTGAAAGTGCCAGATGGCTTCCATCTTTGAGGGTGAAAAGGAGTGGAAGAGAGTGGAAAGAAATGGGAGACAGAAAGTGGGAGGGTGCGGGGTTCCAACAAAATTGCCAATATCCAAGTTTCAGCGTTTCTATCTTGGCAAACATCATCACTCGAAGCCGATCAAATAGAAGTAGTAGTATCTAATTACATGGTAAAAGATGCTGCTCCTTGATGAATGATAGTACGCTATTCCAAATAGGGACTCTAATAAATATTGTTCATTTAAATTATTGGACTTATATACAGGTTTAAACGGTGAATTATACAGCGTTACGAGTATATAACAAGATAACGCATGGGGATGTATTTGAACTCACCATCCACCTAAATTGTTATCCAGATTGTTAGGATCTCACATATAGAATAGTCAAGGAAGAAGCGGGCAGTCTTCGAAGCGTGCGGCACTCGTTGGCTTAGGAGGCGTAGGGTGAGTAAAGTGGAAGAAATTGACGCGCAATAAACTAAATATATCCCAGAAAGTCTCAGATAGCGATCGAGTAGAGAATGTATTTGCAAATTGATCACATCCCAAACTAATCTTTACGCAACAGTCATAGAAGACTTATAGCTTAGTACTAAGGATATTGTATTTCTCCCCTTCATACTTTTTATCATTGTTGCTATAGATCTTCATAAGGTTTATAAGTAACTTGGGGTTACCCTCAGCGGCACCATTAGCTGGTATAGGGATTCATTCATATGATGGTTAAGGTGGTACCAGTGGAGAAGGGAACGCAGGAAGAAGGTAAGCAGTGGCTAGGTATAGATATTGAATCTGGTGTTGGGTAGGTTGTTCTGGAAGGGATAGCTGAGTTGTCTGTTACTGGGATTGAGTTTGGCCTCATAACGTCTCTAAACTTCGTCCTTTCCCCGGGCCGGTTGACTATAACTGTCAAGGTTCTGTGACTATACTCCGATCAGGATTTTAATTATCATTTCTCAATAAACTTTACCCATGTTCAATCGCCTCTTGATCTATACCAGTCAGGCATGTCTAATACTTTATAAGTACTAATCTTTCTGGCATTCATCGACTACCATTCCCCGGACGCTCAGTATACAATGGAAGACCTCAATAACTCAAAGTCTCCTGGAAAAATTACTACAATGGGCAAAGACCACGTGGAAACAGCAGACACATTTGGTGTTGGTCAAGTTATTCTAGTTTGTTACTTCTTGATTTTTCATTCCTATGCTTGGTATATACTGCATTTACTAACTCGTCAAGGCCAATTGCAACACCGAACTCAATCACAAGTCGGACGAAGCGGAATTCTCTGCAGCTCTTATTGATGCTATAAACCATCAGCGGTTGAGACCAAGTCAAATCCAGTTTGCTGCCATTGCTGGTTCTATAGGAGCGTCAGTTTTCTCCCATCATATGTGTTACCGAATTTCATGCTGATATAGACCCCTATTCGTGGTCATCGGTAGTTGAGTAATGTCTGGACCTCTATGTTTGATCGTGGGGTTCATTTTTTGGGCATCAGTTTTCTGTGTTGTCAATGCCATAAAACCCACCAAGCTACTTACATTGTCATGTTGAAGCTCATATTTTCTAAAAAGAGACCGAAATCATCACCCTTTTCCCACTAAATGGCTCCTTCATTCGATTAGCAAGTCGCATGGTGGATCCAGCTGTTGGAGTAGCAGTTGGATGGAATTATTTCGTTTGTTACCCTGTCATCGATCCAAAACGGTTTGATGCTAATACTTAGGGAATAGTTCGCTCAAACGTCATACTTTATCTTCAAGGCCACTATTATCAACACCCTTGTCGAGTACTGGGGCTATAATCAATCTCCTGCGGTCCTCATTTCAGGTATGGTCCGCAAGACTATACTTACAATATTCGCGACTCACGATTCTGGTAGTGACATTAGTTTTGTTTTTAGCCCTCAATATCTACCGAGCAGACCTCTTTGGGGAAGCGGAATGTAAGCGCTTCGATCTCAAGTGACGCTATGTACGCTGACGATTCAGTTTGGCTTGCCCTGGGTAAGATAGTGATGGCTACTGGCCTTATCCTATACACATTTATAGCGATGCTAGGAGGAAACGCACTTCATGAGTGAGATACATAGACGAGTATAGAGGATCAACAAGAAGCATAAGCTAATTCCTGCAGTCGATTCGGGTTTCGTTACTGGAAAGACCCTGGTGTCTGAGCTGGAAGTAGCCCATCCTCTCGCCTGGAGTCATTCATAAATGCCATCAACGTGGCAGGCTTCTGTATGGATAGTCCCGAGTATATTTCAAGTGAGTCGAATTTGGAGATGGGGGTATCGTGGCTTTTCTAACCCAGACAATCTGAAGTCATTACCGGAGAGGCAAGAGACCCCCGCAGAACAATGCCACGAGCTTTCAGCAGTCTTATGCTTCGGCTAATGATCTTCTTCATCGGCGGAGCATTCTGCGTTGGTGTAAGTACCTTAAGCTTCGAATTACTTCACCAGCTCATATTGACCTCTCTCCAAGGTGCTTATCCCATCCAATGAGAAGACGTAAGGACCCGTGTTTCCATACCCTATTTCCTTCAATTCTGTCGCGTGCTTGCTAACCTGCCCCGCCTAACTAATGGCTCGGATACTTATGCTGGTGGTTCTCCATAGTAAGTTTCCAAATTATGGGATTAATGATTTTCCTACATCCTTACATGACTTCTCGTCAGTGTCATATCCATGCAACGTCTACAAATTCCGGGTTTGCCATCGATTGTCAACGCAAGTTTGATTGTAACCATTATTTCTGGTGGAAACGCATATACATTTGGTGCCTCAAGATCCCTACATGCTATGGCTCTCGATGGACAGGCGCCCAAGTTTCTACGCCGGCTAAACAACAAGTATGTGTTTCCGTAGCTGGCGAAAGTACATGCTAATATGATCTAAAGAGGAGTGCCTTATATGGCTGTACTTGTGGTTTTGCTCCTTAGTTGTCTTGCGTACCTGGCTCTGGGCTCAGGCACTGTTAAAGTGCTAAACTGGATTCTGAAGTAAGTTTCCTGCATACCTTTCCGCCATGTACACAACTAATATTTTTTCCTCTAATCAGCTTCTGTACTGCTGCAACCATGTTGTACGTACATCTTCCCCTGTCTGAATTTTATCAATGGGTAATTACTAATGTTGTTTTACAAGTAACTGGGTTGTCATGTCCTTTACGTGGCTACGCTTCAACGCCGCGATCAGGGCTCAAGGCATTGATAGGAAGTCTTTTCTACCCAGTCTCTCCAAGTACCAACCTTTTGCAGGCTATTGGGCTTTCTTCTGGGCCTTTCTATTCCTATGGTAGGTTGAGCCAACAAATTCCCGTATCTCTCTCTACAAATTTATTAAAGCAACAATCAGGGTCCAGGGATACGCCGTTTTCACCAAAGATCATTGGAAAGTGTCCACTTTCATTTTCAACTACGGTATAGTGAGTTATGCATCTTATTTCAATATTCGAGCCGGGTTCGTATTTAACTAATCTCTTATTGTACTCTAGATTGCTCTTGCTGGTAGCATTGGAATTATCTGGAAAATCGTCAAGCGTACCCCATTCCACAAGAGTACAGAGGTTGACCTCCAATCTGGGTTGGATTTCTTCGAAACTTTGACAGAGCACTACCAACAAGAGCGTGAGAACGTACCGTCATCTCTCAAGGAGAGGATAGTTGTCAAGATATTTTAAAAACATGTATATTTCCGATGGGAGAGGGTTTAAATCAGAGTTGATGCCATATTCTGTGATTCAGAATGCGCGATTACTTCTCCCAACCATACCTACCTAGGTATATAGTTTATGCCAGACATCACCTTTCAACGTACTTTCTACAAAACATGGAATTTTTGTCCTATTTACCGATAGTTCGATGTCCTACTCAACAACACGGGAGCAAGGGGGATGCACTCATCCAGAGACGCTGATGTGGTGCATAGATAAATTGGGACTAGGGTTTATGCCTCAATGCCTTAATCAATTTATCATACGTGCACACAAATAGACTTGAAATTTGTCGCGGGTTGTCGGCATTATTACCTAGCACATTCAAAGACTCGAATGTCCTGTCAACAATCTGTCTATAAGGCAACGAAGACTACTAATTACACTGATTAAATATAACTAAAAATTGCTTTTTACTTTCATGTACAAGCATGTTGAGAGATGAATCAGTTTGAGGAGCTACTTACTTTGATTCACTAGAAACCCGACGTAGCTACAGTCAAAGTAGATTTGATAGCATGTACTTGTAGGTAAACCTGAAATTGATAATCAGACAGTCAACTATCATACATGAATTATCGGATGGATTATTACCAAGATCCAGATTCGAATCTTTTCATTGAGCAATTGATCAATTCCGAGTATCCGCGTTGGATGCAACCCTACGCATAAAAGTAACACATTTGCTACAAAGGAGGTAATCTTCTTTCACCACAAGTCACACGTAGATAACCTCCAGTTGCTATATATTTTATGTACAGAGTGGGATCGTAATCACTATTAAACTCATACCCGGCTCTGCTTAGCAGTGCCCGGGACAGGCGAAAGAGGATTGGGAAAGTATCTTCATGACTGTAGATAATTGCGATAAGAAATAAATCCACCAATGAATTTACTATAATAATATTAACAGATTAGTATTCTTTCAACGAATTTCGACTCAATTGCAATTCACTGATATATAAAGGAGAGCGTATATGTGTGCTACCTGTTCCTACGACACCATGTTAATTCGTTCTTTCAGTCCGTGGAGCAGTTCAGTATCATATTCGAAGACTAATTATCCGTTCGCTTTTTTTATGATGCCATGGCGCATGTAGTATCAATAGCAACGCTCTTAGCCGTGGGACTACTTGTGGATTCAGCCAGTGCAGCTGTATCACAGGCCTATACATGGAAGAATGTAAAAACAGGAGGTCGGTATATATGTACACCATTTCTTAGACAATGTCTTGCTAATCTTATCTGGAATTTATGTCATAGGGGGAGGAGGCTTTGTGCCCGGAATTGTCTTCAACCCGTCAGCAAAAGGTGTCGTTTATGCTCGCACTGATATTGGGGGAGCCTACCGTCTCAACAAGGACGATACTTGGACGCCTCTTCTTGATTCTGTGAACAACAGTAACTGGTAACTCACAGGCCTTAAATATATCCACAAAATTACGGATAATGCTAACATAGGGTCTTCAGGCATGACTGGGGTATCGATGCCATTGCCACAGATCCAATCGATACAGATCGGCTGTATCTGGCCGTTGGTATGTATACAAATGAATGGGACCCCAGTCCAGGCTCTATAATGCAATCAAAAGATATGGGAAAAACATGGCAAGAAACAGAATTACCCTTCAAAGTTGGAGGAAACATGCCTGGTCGGGGCGTCGGTGAGGTAAGTTGACCTTGTGCTGTCGAGCTCAGTCATAGATTAAGATGGTAAATGTAGCGCCTTGCGGTCGATCCCAATGACAATAGTATCATATACTTTGGAGCTAGAAGTGGACACGGTCTGTGGAAAAGTACAGATTATGGTGCTACTTGGTCGAACGTTACTTCCTTCATTTGGACCGGTAAGGGTCACGGGAAATTATGAACGGGATCGTCTATTAAACGCCTTTTAGGAACTTACTTCCAGAACTCGAGCTCCTCCTATACCTCGGATCCTGTGGGAATTTCGTGGGTTACTTTTGACTCAACTTCTGGGACAAAAGGGTCACCAACTCCGCGGATCTTCGTCGGTATGTCATATCAATTTATTAAACTATCCTTGACCTGAAGCCAACTGCCATAGGTGTTGTCGATACTGGAAAATCTGTTTTCAAGTCTGAAGACGGTGGTGCAACATGTAAGTGGCCTGCATTTTTCTTTCCAACTGTCAGTCAGTTGACTGAAAATGCACTCAAGGGGCCTGGGTCTCAGGGGAGCCGATGTACGGATTCCTCCCTCATAAGGGCATTTTATCACCAGCGGAGAAGACATTATACATCTCATATTCCAATGGTGCAGGCCCATACGATGGTACGAATGGAACCGTGCACAAGTATAACATCTCGACAGGCGTCTGGACGGATATTAGCCCTACACCTATGGCTAGTGCATATTATGGGTATGGTGGTCTGGCTGTAGATTTACAAGTGCCTGGAACCATCATGGTAGCTGCCTTGAACTGCTGGTGGCCCGACGAACTTATCTGGCGAAGCCTAGATTCAGGCGCAACTTGGTCTTCTATCTGGGCCTGGGACGGATACCCTAACATCGACTATTACTACAGTTACGACATTTCCAATGCTCCCTGGCTCCAAGACAATACATCGACCGCGCAGTTTCCAGTCCGCATTGGATGGATGGTTGAAGCTCTGGCTATCGATCCTTTTGACTCTAACCACTGGTTGTATGGCACTGGCGCTACTATCTATGGCGGTCATGATCTACTGAAGTGGGATTCGATTCATAATGTGACTGTAAAATCTCTTGCCGTTGGAGTGGAAGAAATGGCCGTGCTTGGCCTCATCTCACCCCCTGGGGGACCGCCCCTTCTCTCAGCCGTTGGAGACGAGGGAGGTTTCTATCATGCGGATCTCGATACAGCTCCAGATCAATATTTTCATAATCCCACTTACAGCTCGACGAACGGAATAGACTACGCTGGGAATAATCCATCCATTATAGTTCGTTCCGGATCGAGTTCGACCTTGCCTACTGTTTCGATATCTAGAGATTTCGGTCTTACCTGGTCTGCCGACTACGCTGCATCAAACAATACCGTGCCTGGAAGTGTTGCTCTTTCTGCAGACGGAGATACTGTGCTTCTATCGCCAACGACCGGTAGTCCTCTGGTTTCAAAATACAGCAGCACTTTTAGTGCTGTGTCTGGTCTCCCAGCAGGAGCGGTTATTGCATCTGATAAATCCAACAATACGGTGTTCTATGGCGGATACTCTGGGAGCCTCTATCTCTCCACTAACGGTGGTGTCTCATTTAACAAAACTGTTACTCTTGGTTCTAGTACCGCCGTTAATGCAATCCGTGCCCATCCCTCTATTGCGGGAGATGTTTGGATTTCAACAGATACTGGACTTTGGCATTCAACGAGCTTTGGTGAGAGTTCTGTGCATATTGACAGCGGTTGCACAGCGGGCTGGAGCTTTGGTCTGGGTAAGGCGGCAACATCCGCATCTTATAGTGTTATATTTGGTTTCTTCACTGTGGACGGTGTCACTGCTCTGTTCAAAACTGAGGACCAGGGTATAAACTGGCAAATGATTTCTGATAGCACTCATGGATTCGGTGCGTCATCAGCCAATATAGTCAATGGTGACATGTCCAATTATGGAAGAGTCTTTGTCGGAACAAATGGAAGAGGAATTTTGTATGGTGAACCCAGTGGAAGTCTACCAGCATCCACAGCATCTGGTTCCCAGACATCGCCAACCAGTGTCGTGTCGTCTACAACTACGCCGAAATCAATGATTACATCTACTTCCAGCATATTATCCACAGTATCAACCTCTCAGAGATCCACTGTAGTCACAACGACCAGTTCGGCCACCGGTACAACTGCATACCCATATGGCCAGTGTGGAGGTTCTGGGTATACGGGACCAACTATCTGTCCCAATGGGTGGACATGTACGTTTGAGAATGATTACTATTCTCAGTGTAAGTTACGTTTCTGGAGAGAGTTCCCCACTTTTTCTTTCCTTTTTTTTTTCTTTTCAGAATTGCAGTCTGACATTCGCCAGGCGTACAATCCTAGATAGGATTAACGGATGTTCACACACGAAGTAAGGTAGAATATGCTTGGTCGAATATTGTTGGCCGATGACGCTTATTAGCTCCTGCCATGACAACACGTTAATCTCCAATTCAAGGCGTGGAGGATTTTAGACCGAAATCAACCTCATGATATCGCGTTGTTTTAGAGTCTAAAATAGTAATGGACAGTTTGTGAACAATCATATCATGCTACGTAAGTAAGTAAAGGGGTAAGTCGTAGTTTTCCGCAGTAGTAAATAAGAGTGAAGAGCAATCAATACGTCTGCTGCAGCTAGGTTTCTGATTGGAGCTTTTACTGCCATCCTACACGGTCATTGAGAAGATGACGTGCACAAACAGACCCGAATTTAGTATATCTGCAATACATTCGTATTAGAACCCAATAACCCTTCCCTTGAAATAACTGATACTTAGAATATAGATCCAAATGTCACTATAGAGGGAGCGATCTCACTATAGAAAACGTTTATGATAGAAAGGCAGGTAGCATCGACAAGCCCAGAGACAAATTCATCAAAGTCTAGTGAAGTATCAACCAACTTAGGTAGTCGCAGCACCCTCTTCATGTGGATGTACCGTACAGCGCCGCATTGGTAAAATGACGATAGGTATATCTAGAAATTTCACAGTCACATTCCTAGCCACCAATAGAAAAACTTATATCAATCTAACAATCATTCCCGTGAATAAGGCCGGCATACTACGAGTTCTCTTTGTCTAGCCACTGTATCCGGTCTCTATTATATCTTATACATTGGGGTAGGTAAGGATTCCCAGTAGGCTGCCGTAGTCTCTACTGTATACTGTATACCATGATATGGATCACTGATTTCCGATTGACAGGCAGTTTAACAGTTATCATTGCCAAACTGAAATTTACTAACTAGCAAAGAAAGAACAAAGAATCAATCGAAGCAAGGAAAGTGGAAAGGCAAATACCAGAAACGGCCAATGAATCAAGGCACATAAAAGAATCCAGCAAGAAAGAACCGAGAGGTATAAGGTAGAGTGAAGGGGATGGGACAGACTAAAGAACTAGCTCGAGAGGAAAACCCACGAAATGAAAGATGTGCAAAATCGGGAAAGAAAAAGAAGAAATCAAGGCCCAAAGCCTGTACCAGAGTCATCGGATAGGACGCATTCCTTGCTCTTCCAAAAACTCTACGCGCTCTCTCTTTGCCCGTTTACTAATTTCAGTATCTGTGCTATCAAAGCAGTGATAGCCGTTGAACGATTTTATGGTAATACCAACTCCAGCTGAGTTAAGCTTCTCGTAGAAGTTAACACCTTCGTCATGTAGAACGTCCGCTTTGGCTACTTCCACCAACGTGGGTGGGAATTCCTCCAAGTCTTTGATTGTGGCTTTCCCAGGAACGACGTATTTGTCACCGCCTCTGTGATTCAAATAATGGCCCCAACAATCTTTTACCGTCTCATGAGGCAAGAATGGTGCATTACGGAACTTCGAATGTGAGCCCGTGTTGCATGCGTCGTCCACCATGGGGAACGTCATTATATTGCACCTGATCTTCATTTCCTTACCCTCAAGGATCTTGAGATTCAATCCAACTAACAAGGCCGCACCGGCAGATCTGCCAATGACGGCCACCTCATCGAAATTGATCTCCCCAGAATATTTCTTTCTGTTCCAAAATGCCAGCAGCCCATCATAGCATTGTTCCACCTGAGACGGAGCTTTACATTCCGGTGCAACGCTATAGTCGATGGAGACACAAACCGCATTCAAGCGATCAATACATGGAAAGATTGAGGTGATACCAGAGCACTGGTTGTTGACAACGAACCCACCCCCATGGATGAAGTAGAGACAGGGACGACCCCCAGCGGGCGGACGTTGGTTTTTGGGAGTAAATATTGACAGCTTAATGTTGCCAAACTGCAAGAACTCGTGTGTCATCTTGTCACCTTCACTAGGCATCTCGGGTCCTTCCATGTACTTTTTGTAATTCTCCACGACAGTTTCTGGGGAATCTTCTATTGCAACTCTGTGACTTTTGTAGTCATTAAGCTTGAAGGGGGCTTTCTCTTTGACGAAGTCTTTCAATTCATCATCGCATGTCTCGATGCCCGTATATGGTACTTTTGACATGACGTTGAATGTACTTTAGCTTGTAGGTCGAGAAATTTGGGTGTGATTTGTATAAAACCTCGATGGTAGTGGGCAGCTGGGCACATATTTATGGACACTTCTCCGCTCATTCTTTCATTTGTTGGATCACTAGCTGACTCATATTGACTGAATTCCTCTAATATCGTTGATATTACACAAAGAACTACTTACGCTAGATTCCTTCGTCTTCGTCTGAAGTGTTTCTATGGTTCTTCTAAGATGGAGCCATATTGCAACCATCACAAAAGCACTTTCACAGCATGAACCTACTATTCTTATAAGCGTAGCTGTTTTACCAAAATCTGCCAGTATAGGTATATTATTCTCTATAACCAGCTCACTGACTGTGCTGGACTTATGGGTTTCCTATTGTGGCTTGTGGAATATCTTGCCACAAGGGCTCAGAGGTATTAATCGGACGATTCCACCATGTTGTATATATCCTGCAGATTGACTCATTGAAGCCAATATATTAGTTGCACAATTCTGTTATCGAATTTAGCAACCGTTTTAACCCTGGAAGATCATCAACCAGTTCCTCCGATAAATTAATGGTTTATAAACGATTTCTATGTAACAATATACTCTGTGACCCTACTTCGATTCATGAGTCCTCTACTTCCTAACATCAGAGAACATAAATGTAATGGGTCTTTCGCAGCTCCAATACCAGCATCCCAGAGTAGTGGGCCTCTTTTGAAGCCAGGAAGAGACACTATTCGTATTCCCCTTCCCTTACGGACTTGTTCCGGTGTAAAATATGACTACTAGCAGTGGTGCTTGAGATAACCAGACAGGATATACGACCAAAGTGTTGCCTGAATATCGATCTACCTGTCGTTGTCAGCTATGAATTTAGCTACACTGAACCATATCCCCATTGGATGTTAGAGAAGCTCGTCATCAATATCAAATCTACCACTTCTTGTACAGTACCAGCCAATATGAAACCAGTAATATTACCATTCAGGTCGAATGCTTTAATTTGTTTTGCCATACCTAGCTACCTACAATTGACACCATCGATTCCTATCATGAGTAGCAACATAGGCAAAATAAAGAAAGAGTATATTTCATCCTGCCTGGGTATTCAACCACAAGATCCGGCACTGGGTACTTTGGCATCGTTGCAAGGATCATGTGGGCCACCATTATATTAGATGGTTGAATCTAAACATACTTGACCGGACATCCTTCAAGATTGACATGTGCTGTGTGGCAAGTAGAATTTTACTTAATTAGAAGTCTGGATAGTTTTAGGTTTCAGACATACTCGATATTGAACGAAATGATTACCATCATAGCCTAGTATGAAACAAGACAAGGATGGGACCAATAGACAAGTATCAAAGAAGTGGATCTAGAGGATCAAAAGAACATTTGTCAGGACATTGATTTTGAAAATTGCACATTACTTGAGGAGAGCAGAAAAGGTAGCAGTACAGTAACCGGTGGTAGCACACTAATCTATATGCTATCTATGTAGGTACCTGTATCTATTTTGATTATTCCCCAAGTATGGGATATCGGGCACAGCATCCCCTCGCAGGGTCCATGCCCAATTATCTGAGGGCACCTGAATTATCCACGGATATGCATTCACGATACTTAAACAAATATATATGAATATCATTGAATATCTCTACAACTTTGCACTTAGTCCATACTACGTTGAGTGGGTCTGCTCTCGCTGCTTGGCAAGCAATAGAGTGCATCTAGCAGGTAAGTTGTGATACTTATGCTATCATCTGAACTTTCTTATAGAACTCAGACGAGATTTAATCCAGACGTAGACCTTGGGAACATCTGGAATGGGAAACTCAGCTGAGGACCGGTAGATGGTTAGACATAGCAGATTCCCCAAATTTCGCGGCATAATGGACAATATGGCATTAACGCAGGCCTTGGATCTTATACCAAATGCGCGGGTCATACATTCGGTATCAAATTATGTATGCAAAAGTATGGAATCTTTAATCCTTGTTGTCATTCTTGTTCTCCTCTTAAGTATAGTTTTTAGATTTTACCGGAGATTATTTTTACCCTTAATCTCGTGAAATTGATAGAAACAAGAAGATCTTGTAATTTTCTCAACTAAAGGCTTGAATTTCTCTCTCTCTCTGCCTTTTTTTCGACCAAAGTTGTACCGTCCCTAACAGGGAAATTGTCCTCTATAATGAAGAATCAAAACCCCTCGCTTTAATACGTGTTTCTTCCTGATTGGTACGCCAGTTGGGCCTCGCTGCGCTGTCGACTTCACCAATAATATCTAACAATAGTCAAGGTGGGAGATTTTCTTTTAGCCCCTATTAGGTGGATCCTTCTCTTAAGTGTATGGCTCGCTCTGATTGGCTGACAGATCTCATCTGTCTGATTGGCTAGATGAGCTTAGCTAATCTAACACAAACCGCAAATACGCTATTCCCTATTAAGCATATAACCTACCCGAATTTCCCCTACACGAATCTACCCGAATCTACCCTACCCGAACATGAAGCTATCCCCAACCCCCGAAATCCGTTCCCCAACCCCGTGTTTGAGCTAACCGAGTCGGACCAGCTCCATTCACCCTTTGCACATAAATTTGCACGTTGGAGTAGAAGCTGTTCGTTCTCTTTTTTCCTTCTTTTCCTGATGTACGTTATCTACTCGAGAATGAATCTATAAGCAATTCATAAGGCGGGACTGGCCCGTAACACAAGCGGCCACAAGAGCTGATGGAATTATGTAAGCAAAGATTGTGGATTGAAGCATATTTGTAAGAGATGACTCATTTGATAGGTAGATTACCTAGTGGACTTTATACAATATCATCGATGGAGTGCAGTTTGTCTTCCTAGGATATCCGCTGTCACTCAATCTATATATTGGTAGCGCAGGATCACGCTTCAGGACGTGAATTATTAACTGTATCCCATTGCATTTCCTTATACGCAAAATAGTGAATGAGGAGTCATACAGTATTTTTCTTCTCGTCCATTTCTGCTTATTTGCAAATACTTTTGCCTGAAGCAACTGTGCTGCTATTGTCATGTCAAACTCTACCATGCGAAAGCGCATAATTGTTGCCGTAACACGGGGAACAGGAGCGCACTAGCAGTGAGCCTCCTCAAGAACCTCCGCCGGCTTGATATCCAGTTCCATCTGATCATGTCCAAATGGGGGACAGCCACCTTGAAATATGAACTGGATCCACCACAACACACCTAATTATCTTCAATCACTCGCCAGTATAACTTACGCACCACGCGATGTCTCTGCATTTATATCCTCAGGCTCTTTCCGAACAGACGGTATGATCATCGTCCCGTGCAGTATGAAGCCTATGATGTCAAGGAGGAAGTCCTACAGCGATGGACTGAGTTTGGTCTCGAATTTGAACTACTTTCTGGCGATCCCTTACGTATCATATCACCTCAAATTTTGGTGCTGTCTAAAGATAGGTATACTGGAAATTTTGTATGGAGATGCAGGATATCCATTGCAACAATTCAAGCGGCCGGAATTGAATGAGGCGAGGACTACTAAAGATTCTAGCTTTCAGGTTCCGCAGTGACCTGTCACCCACTCATAATCACAATAAGATGGGCGCATATCAGAAGATTCAAGTGACAATTTGGTCGAAATCGGGGCACGATAGTTTGAATTCGAACATGGAAATTCTGAGTTGCCATAAGATAATTTTATGGACCATCACTAGTAGAAAATGAAGCAGAGTTTTCGCACGTGCAGGTGGTTGTTGGCATCATCAAGGCAGCATCAGGTCCATAAGCCTACGCTATCGGGATCCCAGTCATGAGCGAGGCCATACCCTTGGGGCCCAGAACATCCTCAAGACTGAGCCAAGAATATACCAACTCGTCCGATTCGCCCTTATCATAAGCAACATCATCTTGAATTGGCTTTTTGTTCTTGCAGAACACTCTCAACTCCTTGCATGCTACATTTCCATTCTTCTCTAAGTATTCTCGCATCACATCGCCAGCGCTCGTGACAATCCGACTCACCACCTCAACTCCGCCAGATGCAAGTCCCATTGCGCGTGCATTTTGGGCCGAGCCTTGCGCAACATGATGAATGAGAATGACGATGTTTGATATGAAGGACTCATCAGGCATGTACGCCGACGTGAAATATTGAACAAATTTCTGGTGCTCCTTGTCTCGGATCAGTCTGAGTAACTCGATGGAGCGTTTGTGCATGCCGAAATAGTTGTATAAGATGATAGGCTCCTCTTCGAATAGCTTGGTCTTCAAGAATGCAAGAAGCTGCAGTGTGCCAATGTTGTGGGTATTAGACCACTTTCGGGTAATGATGTGTTCCGGATTGGCTCGCTGAAGCTCCTTGCTGGATGATTCAAGCTTTGATTTCTGGGAAAGTTCGTCCAGGATTTTGTCAAAGTTTACAATCCCAGCATCTTTTTCAGGACCACCAACGTACTGGCTGAAAAACAAGTTCGCGACTGCAGCGGCGGGCTTGAGCAATCGGGGATTCTTGCCATCAGGGCTATGGAATCTTTTACTCTTGGAATCGCGGGCAAAATTGACAGCGGATGAGATCCCTGTGGCCAACTCAAGCCTGTTCAGCGATTCGTTGGCGTTCTTTGGCCGAGAACCAACGAAAATATGAGATTCGCCATGGATCTTGATGAAAGCATCCATATCAGGCCATCTCAGGTCATTATGCTTTGGAGAATTTATGATAAGGTTGTGCAAGAAGGCCAGTTGTTGGACGTCGTACCATTGGGTAACGAGCTGCTGGCCAACAAACTGCATTCGAATATTGAGGTTGAACAGTATTAAGCCGCAGAGGATAGCGTGCTGCGAGAAGAGTGCATGTTTTTCGGGCGGGGAGCCAATTCTGTCGAGTTCAGACAGGACTCGAATATCAAGAAACAGATCTTGTATGATCCATGACTTGACAGTTGAACTTATATTTCGAATCTCCTCGTCACCCTCTTTTGGCCAAAATTTAGGCTGAGGGTGTGTTTTCGACAGTTGCAGGTAGTCGTCGATAGTCTTCTGGATGCGAAGTCCAGCCATTCGGAGGTCTCCAAATGCACCCAAGGTACTGTGCCGCATGATATGATGAACGTCGAGGAAGATCTGGGAGGCGAAACAAAGCCATAGAGTAACCCTCTTCGTCTTGGCAAACTCAGAAAGCCCTCGAGTGATCGCGTCCTCAGTAGGCATTTGGATTTTGAAGGTATCGATCAAGCAAAACTCTGGCAAAATCGAAAGAAGGATAATTTTGTCTTCGTTGAATTTCTCACCCAGAGACATCAGCTCTCTGTGCGCTTTCGGATTATAGGTGCCGAAGTAGCCTTTTTTAAAGACTGGCTGATGATTGGCCTGGAGAACGTCTGCGAAGGACTCAAGCAGGACTTTAGTTGGCACATAGCACCATTCGGCTATATCAGCCATGTTCTTGTTGTATGGCAGGCCAATCTCAGTGGATGGAGTCACAGAAATGCCGCGCGTAAAAACAGCGAGATTGTAGACAATATTCTGGACATCATCCCTTTTCCCCGTAAGGGAAGTGCGCCAGTCAGCTTCCACCTCTCTCACAAGATCTCGGGCAAGTTGCAAAGCACTGTCAGTCACGACAGCGGCGTTCATAAGGTCGATTTTCTTATCTCGATACTCCGACCAGGTGATGGAAATGAATGATCGCATATTTTTCAGGTCTTGAAGTAAGCAGAAAGTCTTGAAGAATAACTGACCAAAAAATGAGTCTGCTTCCTCATTGTCGTCCTCCTCAACAACAGTCACCTTGACGACCTTCTTCGATTCTGTAGGCGTCGGTTGAGTTTGCGCAGTATTCTGAGGTTCCTCCACGGTGAGAACAGCAAATTTGTTTAGAAACCTGTCAGCATCGGTGTCGTCACTTTGAGGCTTAGAAGTCGGTGGTGGCTGCTTAGAGTCTGGCTTCGAGGGCTGGTTGGTCTTCCATTCAAGAGTCTCACAGATCTGCTCCAGCGCAGTGATGAAATGAGCATGACGCTCGTTGTTCGTGGAGTCACCCTGGCCCAAGAACCAGCAAGTGACCGCTTTTCTCAATTTGATGGCGCGTTTCGCGATAGTGAGAATTGACTTAGGTACTGTGAGAGCAGAACCAGCAACCACCTCGGCGAGCTTTTGAAGATCCTTGGTAGTCGCACTATAGTGAAGTGGAGCTGCATTTGAGTCATCGTTTTTGCCTTTGCGTCTACCCTTTTTCGCGGTAGGAACGGTGCCAGAGAGGGTCGGTGGTTGATAGCCACACTGACTAGCTGTCTCCAGTAGCCATGTGGCAAATGTATTGGTATCTGCTTTGTAGCGGGCGTAACTACTGTGCAAGAATTCAGGTAGCATATTGGAGATTGCAGGCCAAACAAGTGAAAGATAGCCAGTTAGTCGAGGAGACTAGCTTCGGCCTCATGGCATGAAGGAAAAGGAATACTTGTCGCGTCGCCTCCCCCCACCCTAGACCGGGTGGTGGTCGGCCCGGACTCAAGGGCAAAAATTTTCAAAATCTCAACTTGGCATTTACAAACGTCAAAACCAGAGCCAAAATGACCTTTAAATTATATAAAGAAGAGGAGGAATTGATTGCAAAGGCCCTCAGTGCGTGTCAACACGAAAAAAAAGCCGAATTTTAGCAAATTATCGCGTGAATATGGGGTGTCTCGCAAAAAACTGTCCCGTCGGTGGCATGGCTTATCCTCTCGCTCAACACGCCCACCTACGAGGCGCCTACTATCTCTAGATCAAGAAAAGGCACTTATTCTATGGATTGAGTATCTAGATAATATAGGTGCGCCTCCTACGAATCAGCAAATTGAAGAAAGTGCGAATTATTTGCTCGGCAAAGATTTCAGTGGTCCAGGAGAGGCCCCTCGTGCCGGAAAAAATTGGGTACACGATTTTATCAAGCGCCTGCCAAAACAATATGTACTAATCGTTCAAAAACCTCAAGAAAAGGAACGTACCGTTGCAGAGCATTATGGTGAGGTTGAGCGCTGGTTTATTGCCCTCGAGCTCGCTATACAACAATACAAAATTCGCCCTCAAAATCTGTGGAACTTCGACGAGACCGGATTCATTGTTGGACAAGGAAAAGATGAAGCGGTGGTAACAGCATATCCAAAAACATCAAAAAGGGTATCTAGCCTGTCCTCTCGAGAATCAATTACTGTCATTGAGGGTATAAATGCCGAAGGAAAGATTATACCACCTTTATTGATTCCAAAAGGCAAGGTCCATTTGGAGGAATGGTACCGGCATATAAAAGATGACGACTGGCTAGTTGCACCTGCTTCGAATGGATTTATCACAGATGAGATCGCATTCGAATGGCTTCAACACTTTGACCACTTCTCTAGGCCCGGGGCCTTCCCGGATTGGCGGTTACTTCTTATGGATAATCATACAACTCATCTTACTATACAGTTCGTGCAATATTGTGAAATTTGGCACATTCGCCCATTCCGATTTCCGCCTCATTCTACGCATTTTTTACAACCGCTCGATGGAGTGCCATTTCAGCAATATAAACATGTTCATGGACGGGTTGTGAACAAGATTGCACGCTTGGGTGGCTTCGATTTTGATAAAAACGACTTTTTTGAAGAATTACGCGATATCCGGATAAAGACATTTACCACACGAACGATTCGGCACGGCTGGAGAGAGCGAGGAATTTGGCCTCTTAATCCTCGGCTTATACTTGATATGATGCTTCAGCCAGAGGAAGCATTTGAAGCACTTGTTGCTGAAGGGGATGCACTAAAAATATATGGCGAGGCGGATGACACTATTCCCAGCTCACCAACTACAAAATCAATATCTCCACCATCAACGGCCGTAAAACTACGTCGCTATGTCAATAAGATTGAAAAATCGATTGACGGTATAAAGGATATTCTTGACGAAGTAAGCCCGGGCCTTTCACGCCGTATAAAAGTGGTTAATCAAGGCAGTCTCACCTTGGCCGAATTAGGCGATCTACACCGTGAGAGCTTTGCCAAGGTTCGTGATATAGCAACGCGCAAGAATCAAAAAACTACAAAGCGCCAAGTCAAAGCGAGTGGTGCACTCTATGTAAAAGATGCGAATCGCCTCATAAAACGCCGTCATGATGGGGATTTGTTGAAAATCTATAAGAGCCATGTCGTTGGCGTGCCGCAGCCGATGGAAGAAGTGGCTTCAACAGAGCCTCAAAACAGCGGGTTTTTCTTTGATACTCAGGGAGATAGGTGAACAATGCTTGTATTTAACACCTGTCTAGTTTTTATATGCAATTTATATGGCGTTGGTGGACTGTAAAACATTTTACATGAGACTTCATATTTTTTGGCCCTTGAGTCCGGGCCGACCACCACCCGGTCTAGGGTGGGGGGAGGCGACGCGACAAGTAGTTAGTTACTGGTCCCCGGAGACCTAGATAGGGACCAATGATATTCATCATCCTTCCACGATTAGTGTGCCCGTTATAAGCAAGGACTATTTAGACCGCGTCGGGGCCTCATTAAGAGAAGACAGACGATTGAATACATTTGACCATAGTACTTGGAGTACCACCTAAAGCGCGTGTACGGACGTACGTACATTGTTTTATTGGCTTTATAAGTGTTGGTTTACCTTCGTTAGATCGCAAGATCTAAGAAGGACAGCTAATCCAACAAGCTGACTGAGCCAGTAATACTGAATTCCTAATATTGCGACTAATCCTAAGAACTAGGGGGATGCGGGTGGTGAGATGTAGTTATCCTCCGTACGCTATAGCGCACGGATAAACTATATCCCATTCCCGCGCCGAGATAGGCAAGATTGCTATACCGACAATAAGCCAACCCACATTTACCCTCTTTGAATTGAACAAAATATGATGTTCAACGTATCAAACCGACCAGTGGTTACTGAGATCGACGAGGCCAGAGGTGTAGGATTAAATACACACGCGTATGGGAGCCCCACTACAACCGCGCGTGTCAATAAGGATATGAAATGGGCATATATGGATGGCCTCAGCGACGCAGAACGCGAGCAGTCTATTATTGACTACATTCAAATTGCTCATCGCTAGAAGGCTGAAGACTTCACACACCGGATAACCAGTCGCAATAAGAAAGACACCTGGGAATATATGCCCAGGCTCAGTAACGTGCAACGCGAGAAGTCCATCCTTGAATTCCTTCGATCTGCTCATCACTGGAGTATCAAGGACTTCATACAACAGTTGGCACATCCGGAAAAGGTCCCATACGCCCACGGTGCTCAGGTCCGGATCTATCAGCTGCGGCAGGCAATCATCGAGCAACCTGAAGTTCTCAAGATCTTCATGGAGGACAAACAGCTAATACCCTCAATGCTTGTTGAGGGTGTCAGCGCAATTGTTCGAGAGGAGCTTTATACGTTGATGCAGGAAGTCCCACTCCTCAGTAAATTCCACGTCGACAGCTCCCCAAAAGACCTGAATGTGAAGGACTTTTACAAGGAAGTAGGTGGTAAGGCTCCTATTTTATGGCGGCTTCTTCAGACCATATCCGCTCAGCTGGAGGATGATACTGTTTCAAATCAACAGAATGGGTCATTTGGCTTGATAGCTGCACTATTATCCCATGCGTTAGCACCAAGACTCAGTAGTGGTTTCCAGGCATACATTGGCCTTTATTTCCATTCTCTTGGCGCACGAAGACGCTTAATTGACCTTCTTCATTCACTCAATATATCACTCAGCTATGATAGTATCCTACGTTACCATAATGAGATTGCAAAAATTGCACAGGTACATTAATAGTGACCCAATATTTCTCTACTGATGTAGTATTAATTAACGGTAGTTATCACTCCAAACCCAAGCGCAAGAGGCATCTCGTTGTCTTATTGTATATTAGAGTAACTTCGACTATAATCAAACAGTCCATCACCGAACATTGGAAAACCAGAATACCTACTTCTCAGTAACCACAGGAAAGCTTTGTATAGGCTTGCGGATACCGGAGGATGGCCTAACATTGACTATGCTGAACCAGAAGATAGAATTAGACGTGGACAAGCATATTCACCGCGCGCCTGTCAACTTTAAAAGAGATCCTATCTCAAAACAGTGCCAGATTTAGTTTATTATCTAGTGTATTCAATCAGTCCATCCTAAAGTGTTCGATTCGCTGGAAGATAAAGAAGCGGAGTCAATACGGTTTCCAGTTATTGATTGGCTTGATCGTTGTAAAACTGTCCACTACGGGCTTGGTCCTCTGATGGAGAATGAAGGCACCATAGATAGCACATATCAGGTTATAAATCAGATCTTCTGGGAGCAGCTTGGACTTGCGGACGACAATCATTATAACAATATTATCTAGTTGGTCTATGGAGATCAGAAAACCTGTGGTCTTGTCGGCAGTATCAAAAAAGAGAGCCGATGGTCTCGGAGCATATATGGTAGCTATTATTGGGTACTTCCTATCCCTGGTTCATTCCACTGGCGTATTAACTTCATCAAAATGGTAATGGAGATGTTCTGTGATAAAAGCAAGACTAATAGCGATTATATACTCAACCATAACGCTATCTATATGGGGATAAAACAGGGGCATACCAATCCTTTTCATTATCAAGAACAGCTTGCTATGCAATTAGTGAATGCACGTGTCCTAGCACGATTGTATACAGTTATCAAAGCAGATAGCAGATCCCTTGACTTTGGGGATAAATCCCAGGTTGATAGATTCCTGTAGAACCTTGGTCTTCCAACAATGCTTTGATATGTTGAAATTGTCCGCTAGTCTATTTTCTCACAATCTGAACTATCTAAGAAACAAGGTGAGATGAAGAAAAAGGGTCGAAAGAAGGAGCCCAGTAAGAATAACAAGCAGAGACCAAGCACTGAGGAAAATTAATTGGATCAAGCAGGTATTGGTCCCGAAGAAGCCAAGGTCGATAGGGATATAATCGATCACGTCTTTGACGGTCATAAACGGTTTATCCAATATATAGAAACTTACTATATGTTCAAGCAAGCAATCCAATACGAAGATGTTGGTCATATTCGCTGGCTTTACCCTTGCTTTGCGCTCCTTTTCTTTGGTGGAAACGAGATTAAATATAGCATTTTATCATTATATATAACGTGGCTCACAGGAACCAATGCCGCATCAAAAGAACTTCAGGATGCAATTCTTGCCAATAGTCTGGTGAACATCCGGGGTGCCAACGATAGTTGGTACGAGATCGACCAATTAAATGAGTTCCTAAATCTAGAGATGAAGCGAATCATGATCAGTCGGCGGACCTCAACGCAGAGTCTTGAGGATCTATTCCGGCGAACTGCATTGACAGCTAGTTACTGCATTGACTTGCAAAACCAAATCGATTATCTATCAAGTCGATTTGTTAGCTCCAAACACACCCCTAAAGAAAGCATACTAGATATTTACCGACTGGCCATAAGATTGCAGGAACTCGGGTCTCTGCAGCACATGGATAGCGATAGGGATGCAGAGTTTATCCCTAAAGATCTGATCGCAGCTGCTGTTGGGAACGTTATTGGGGGTAAAGTGGCCTTGTTCAACTAGAGTTAGATTGCAGACCCAGCGCTTATAAAACCAGCTCACACACCAATTGCTACCATAGATGACTTCATTGCTGATCCGGACGCAATCGATATTGATAATAAGATATAGGATAGTTAAAATATAGATAAAATACGTTATAATCTTAATATATTATCCTTGATTAATTCGATTGAAGAAGCTGTGCCATTCCTTTGAAAGTCGTGGTCGTGGGATTCGTATATTCCTGGGAATTTCCTGTAGAGGTTATCTTCATTTAATGCCTGTTTGCAATGGCATTGGAGTCCTTGGCGTTGGTGACTCAATATCCATCTGTGTAGTCTGAGATGATACCAAAAGCTCTAGTAATAGTATATCGTACAGAGTTAGTAGGGAATCGTTCTGACTCAGTGTTGATGGTGCCAGCATAGAAAGCTCAGTGATCAGACTGGCTTCGTGTAACATGCTGGGATCCATATTGACTTGAACTCGTGGATGGCGGCATTGTAGATTGAGTTCCCGCCTGCAATGGTGTGGATTAATTAGATGATTGATGATTTTGATAACTTTGTGTAATAACGGCATATAACTGCTCTCCATGGCTATCTCAATAATACCATGATCCTACAGTGGCTTTCAGTTGATCCCGAGTGAAATAGAGTGTAGTGAGCCGAGCAATTAGTTCATATAATGGTTCAGGAAGAAATGCGTAGGCAGTAGGCACATATATAAAGTCATTGGGAAGATTTTCTAATTGTATAGTAACCCAATCCTTAATATCAGCCATAATAGCTTTCTGTACCTTGGTCAGGTGAGATCCACGTTCTTTATATGTATAATACTTGGTACTTTCGATATAAGTATCGAGGAGAAAGGCAGTATTGCAGTAACTACATCACCGCTGAGGGTTCACATCGGACCAATACTCGGATGGTTCCTCAAAATAGTTCATAAGAACACGTCGTATACACTGTAGATGGTTACAAATACTATGCCAGAGTTGAGGTAATCTAGCTCAACGCTCTCGCTCCGCAGTTGCAGACTTGGAAATTGGCTGATTTTCCTCCAGTTCCTCTTCTATATCTTCTTCAGGCTCCTCGTCAAGTTAAGATGACCCAATAGCCACCTCTGTACATTTAGAAGCATTATCTCGGTCGCCGGTTGTCCATGCATCAACCAAGAGTATAATCTCACCCTCTTATTGATCTCGACATGCGCGTCCACCACATTGCAGTAGAGTTGCTAGCAGAAGATTTCTTAGGATGCCATATAACACAGACCGTCGTATATCAGGCAGGTTAACACCAATGCCAAGGGCCTCTGTTGCAAATACCACCCTAATAGTTAATTCAATTCCTGGCTTTCGCATTTCGGACGTGATATATACCTTATCCACTTCGTGTGTGTCCCGGGTGTATGTGACCACTATATCATGGCAAACCTGTTCAGTATATTTAAATTGTTCGTGAACCTAGAGATACTCCATCATATAATCAAGCGCTGAGAAGAGTTCCCTTTTTGAATCGAAGAAGACAACTGTCTTAGGAATCTCATGTGGTTCGATATGGGGTTGAGCTTCGCTCTGAGGGTCAGGATCAAATAGGAATCGTAACGCGGTAAACTTCGCGCGTTGACGCTGAGGTATTACCCCAACCTAATAAATCAGTTCTAGTCAGCCGATCCGACGTCAACTCTCAAACATCCACAATCCGTGGATCTGGAGGGCTTACCTACGAGCCCACAACAAGAAGAAAACCTGGTCAAGAAATCCTTACGACTAGGCCATTGACGTCACGTACAGCAGGCGACAGAGCAAGGCCCCTTAGGCCTCTGGAAATTGGTAAAATGGGCACGCTCGCGTAATGGAGCGTATTTTAGGGTTAGTGATATACCCTTATCTCAGGTTCTCAGACTAGCTAGCCCAAAAAGGAAAGGCGTCATGCTGACTAAGGCTTTTTGGTATCGTTAGTCTGAGCGCTGAGTAGTTGTCAGATAACCGGGATATCCGGCGATGTAGAAGATAGGCTATTTGATCAGGTCAACCAGTCACCTCAAGCTACCTACACTTCAGCAAATAAGGAGTCATCTTCTTATCAGGGCTCAATATAGCTAAATGCAAGGTAAGCATATAAAACTAATATGGTTTCTCTAATACTCACCAGATATCGGGGCTAAATAGGATTCCTAGCCCGAGTTCCTTGACAAGCAGGCGCACTCTCTTCCCTCTGGAGAACTGATTGGTAATGGTTTTTCTGTTGAGGAGGCCATGCTCATGAGTGATACGGCATAGCACATGCATTGCTGCCCCCTTCTCATCCACAGGCTGGTTTTGCTTGGTTTTTACCGTTTGCTTTGCAACCTCAATCTGGCTGTCATACCATTTTGAGGCGCCCATATATTCCAGCATATTGAATATGATGCACCGACGATTTGTGGCGGATCCTCTCTCCAACACCTCCAACCACGTTTTCCCGTCTGACCATTGACCGGCTTGAGATTCGATGATCGGGCCCTGATTGGTGTGAAGACTTTGCAGGATTTTCTGATGAACAGTGCGCGGCAGATCGTCTGGGTGTCTCTTAAGCAGGCTGACATTGTCAACCATCTTATAGATTGTGTCCTTAAAGGATTGATCCTTAGTGACATCTCCTTCGGGCGTAGGTGGCGGCTCTGTCTGCTCCCTATTTGGGGATATCGGCGTTGTGCTACGATACATGTTCTCGCAATTGAGGGCATTTTCTTTATTCACGGCAATCGTCGTCGTCGAGTGAACGTCTGACTTGCTCTCATGCTTAGGCGCGGGTCTGAGTCCAGCGGTGTCAACACAGATCATAGAATCCAGTGCATCTCTGGTTTCCGGACTTTCGCTCTCGAGAATTCGACTCTCTGGAGTCATGGGCTCATTGACAACGTTTTCTTCGTCGGTACATTGCCTCTTCCTTGGAACTGATTGCACCGCGTGACTCGGCCGATAAGACGGATCTTGTCTCCGTTTTCGTTTTGATGGTAGGCGAGGAGACAGGTCTGGAATGTTTTCTCGTATTGCTGCAGCGATGGCTTGCGCAACAGCTGGTTCCTCTTGGCAGAGCTGATGAATAAGGTCGCGAAACTGTTTTATCAGCCAGGTTCTCCTATAGTGACGGTCCAAACCATACCTCGGGCACACTCTCTACATCCTCCGTTTCTGGCTTGGCCTGCATCTCGGCCAGCTCCCGGAGCATTTCAGAAAGCTCAAGGAGTGAACTTCTCCTTTGGCTTGGGGGCATTGTTGGTCGTGGGCTGGAGACAGCGGAGTCCATGATGAACGCCTTGAGAGTGATCAATGGTTGTAAAGAAATCAATGAAGAGAAGGCAGAAGTGCGGATGGGGGCCTCTTTATAGCCGTACAGCCCAGGATTTCAGCATCCTAGGATGCCGAAACCCAAGTCCTGCCAGTGATTCAACTATTGGCACGGTGATATGGATCGGTGAAAGAGAACCAATAGAGACTCACTGTCAGGTTATGCCAGTACGCTTTGGGCATGGGGTGATGATGTAGAGGCCAGGGACGTGGTGGGCTAGTCCAATGATTCCAACCATTGAGAAACTTCAACTCCACATCTTCTGCTCCATCGCCCTGCTGTGATAGGACTTGAGCTTCATTGTGCCGCGGCTGAGAATGTGTCTGCATATGATACAAACCAGGATTTTGGCATCCTGGGATGCTGAAATCCAAGCCGTGTCTGGAGCTACAACCAATCATAGATCAAGCGGAACCACACGGCGGAGCAGGTCGGTAGAAGTGGCTCGCTATCAGGTTATGCCAGTGCGCTTCGGGCTTGGGCTAGTTGTGATTCAAGGACCACTTCAGTGCAGATTCTGCCTACTCAGAGACATGGCGGATCACATATATGATTGCACATACCCAATCATTGATGAAGGAATCAGCTGCGCCCTTCTTCGCCTCCATCGTCCTCCTGTGTTAGATAGAACTCACAACAACTAAGAAACATGGTGAATCCAATGTACAGCGACGGCTATAGAATGCGTCCGCATACGAAGCTGGCAGGCTCCGCATGGGCGTACCAGCAGGAAATGGTGCATGGCGCAGTTGGAGGTTGATGGCGCTATTAGCACCAGCAGCAGGTTTACCTACATAAGTATCTGCTCTCGATGTCGCGGCGACAAAACCGATCGATGAGGATCATTGCCACCTGTCCAAGCTGTTCCTTGGAAGGAGGTATGCCCTTTTGGGGCGCCAACCAGCACAATGATACAATTAGAGAAATAAAACAGGCATTTTCCAGTTCTAGGACTATGAGATTATCGCCAATCAGGTGAGCGATCCTATTACAAGTGCTGGTAGTTTTAATTGGAGGTTTAATATCAATCCTAGACACCGCTCTTAGTGCTGAATATAATATGTCTTTGTTAACTAGAATGCCCTTTATCAACATGATTTGGACGCCCGATGTTGGTGTTCGACTATTAATCACAAGCTCGGCCACATTGTTGAGAAGTTTTTGGCCTTGCCCATGATAGCCCTACCTTTCTGAATGTGTGCGATACCACTTCTCCTTTGCGTCGGTATACGCCAGGCCGAGAATCTTCAACTGGTCATCATTTGCTTGACGATAACCATACTCCCTGGCGATCTCGTCCTCGATATGGACCCAGTGAACAGTAAGAGAGACAATCAATCGGTCTAAGTCGTTGAAATCCTTTTCCAGCTCCCCTTTTAGCTCCTGGATTTGATCGACCAAAGCGGGACGCTGGTCGGAAATGCTGTTCAGCTCCTTTTGGACCTTTGCCTGTATAGTCTTCACCTTTTTGGCGACAGCCTGCTGACGGCGTTTGCCCTCGTAGATTGGGTCGATCAGGCCACGGGGGTCCCAGTGTCGCATGGGCTCTGCAGGCTCTACTTGCAGGTCAGTGTAGCTCTACAGAGAGAGTGCAAGAGTTGGCTCACGTCCAGCTTGGCCATCAGCCTGACGTACATACACGCCATGATACGGTATTTGAGGCGGATTTTGCGCCATCAGTGCGCGCAGGCGGCGTTCCTCATTTTCGTCACTAAGACGGTGAAGCGAACCCGAAGTGATGGACATCGCACAGTCAATGTAGTGTTGTTGGAGTCGAATGTTGTCACTTAACTGTCTGAAATCAGGAGCTAGAGTCTAAATCGCGGTTCGTCGGGAACAGGACTCGGCCACAATCGATCAGCTAACTCACGACAAGGCGTGGAGTGAGAGAACTAAGAACGAGAAATATTAAGGAAGTGAAGGTTGAGGCTATCTCTGGGTCCTATATCTTGTGCGTGCAGCGCCCCGTTGCCCTAACCCTATGATTCCTAAGCCACAGAGATATACTTGCAAGACTAGCTCAGCGTCGGTCCTCGCTTTCCCCTTCCAGATTCGCAGAGGAGGATTTTGAAGAATTTCTACAAGCAGATGCAGATGCTTCCAAAGAGAGACAAGTCACAGAGATATAATCCCCTTTATTAAGGGCAAAGTTCCGGATAATAAATGTATGGGTGGTGGTATTCCTTTTAAGAACCTCGGTCATCTAACTGATGGCACTCTGGTCCCTGGAAATCCCGATCACTATCATGGGGCACGTCCTGAGCAACTTGACAAGCAAATACAAATTGAACTCAGTCATCAAATTGTGCCCTCCACGCAGCATGATCTCCCTATTGCGCCGAATTTTTTCCTGGCAGTGAAAGGACCTGATGGGTCGGCATCAGTAGCCAAAAGACAAGCATGCTATGACGATGCATTAGGAGCAAGGGGACTGCACTCGCTTCAGACGTATGGCAAAGATGGACCTGAATTTGACAACAATGCTAGTACCCTGACGTCCGTGTATCATAATGGGCAGCTCCAAATCTTTACCAGTCCTCCTTCGAAATCAGCTACATCCGATCGGACAGAATATCATATGACACAAATCAAAGGATGGTCTATGACAAGTGATTCTGAAGCCTTTTGAGAAGGTGCGACCTGGTATCGGAATGGCAGGGACCGGGCATTGGGCAAAGGAGCAAAGGGACGAAGCAATAAGCCGAGCAAACGAGAAAGCCACTCAGGAAGCCACTCAGGATATTGTTGAATCCGGTGCTGCAAATACGAGTTTCAGCACAGTTTGTGAAATACCGAATACTGAGTCAGTCGCATCTATCACTGAGCAGTCCTATTTCTCGTTTAACGGCACAAACACAACAAGCACGCATTCATTACGAAAAGATTGGGATTTCTCACACTGAGTTTATAACTGATCCAATGCCAGTTTGCTGTAATGGAGTAATTTATGCGATCCCAAAACAGTGCATATTGGCTTTGATGAGGCTAAATTGGCGCTGAGAGTCGTGGAGGTCTTGGAGTTTTTTACCAAAGTTTGGTATGAGAAGTGCGACAGTCAAAATCATACGGGCTAATAAGTCATTCAAAATCGACATGGCCGAAGAGCAGTTGATCATAGCATTCCGCCTTGCTTGCGGGCTCATAACAATGAAATTATCATCAGTGTGACTCGATCTTGCTTCGCTATTGATTTCCGTTCAGCCTGCCAATCTGCGCTTGAGTTCGGTGGTTGCATCTGCTTCCACCCGCTTTTATAGCGCAATGTTCTTTTCCTTTCGTAGCTCTTCCACAACTTCTATTTTTGATACATTTAGCAGGCGAAACTGGAAAGTATTTGAGGCGGATCCCAATTAATATGTTAGTATGTGCATAAATGTGACAGCCTTGCAGATAGGTGTCATGTGGCGCGGGGTCGACTGAAGACAAGGCTGAACCGCTACTGCATACATAAATCCCGTACCATGCCTCATCGATGTCTCCTTATCGTTCGGGGTCTGCATCTGATATCCAAACTTGAATATAGTACCGAATACCAGTAATACTCAGTACGAGCAAGTACAAACCCAAACAACCTGCTTGAAGCACTACTTACTCGGAAACAGGAGCTGTAGCCAGAATTCAGGCAATCGCCTGGTCTAGCCTGGTTTCTCTACCTAAATACATAGCCATGTCCGGCACCCTTGTACCCACGGGTAGCGGCAACTTCCAACAGTCGGGTCAACTTGACTGGGTATCTCTGTCAAAGATTCCAGTCACGTTCGGGTTCGACGTCCTAGTACGACTATCCAAGGCGGAACTCAACCCTGCTACTATAGCCATTGGCCGGTTTGTCTGTGGCCGATTTGTGATTAAGGCCGAAGCTCAAAAAAGGATCCGCGATGCTTTGTCTAGCTTGAAATCCTTTTCATCCTTTGGGAACCTCGTCTGGTTTGGGTTTGGAATAAAGCCGATCGTGAAAGATCTCGCGGAAACTGAGCAAGGATTGACATGTGTCGCTTTATGCGCATGCCTGTCTATTTCTTACGATTCCTTTTATGTTGCGGAGGTTCTCCGAGAAATTTGCAAATTACAGGAGACTCCCTCAGACTTTATTCCGTCGCTCCATCAGTGGAAAACATTGGTTCGGATGTGTGCCGGATCAGTATCAAATTCTAAGTTTCCTACCCTCCTTGAAGGGTTAATGCGCCTCGCCGCCCCTAGCGCAGGGGCGTCATTTGATCAACCAACGACAGCAGAAGCTCTTGCAAAAGCCATCGGAGCCCTAGCTGATGTCTCCAATAATAAGTTGGCAAATACTACGATTGCCGGTGGGCTCGATTGCATGTGGCTCGCTGCCTTCTCAGAGTGGTGTTTAGCATTGGATGTTGAGGTACGTCTCAGCTCAGGCAGTACGGTATACAGATCATCAGCGAACGACGACCACTGTTTACCTTCGGTCACGATCGTCTTCGACTCGCAGAACGAACAATCAATCCAGTTAAGCAAATGTCATATTGTTCCGAAAGGTTGTAGGTTCTGGGGAATCCCGGACCCGGACCAATCCAGATTTAGAGGGGGTCGCTCAGAATGGACAAACATACTTGCAGATACCTTCGGTCGCCATATGGATATTCTCTGTACGGGTGCTATGCAAGAGAATTTTGCCCTCCTCTTGTTTCATGCATCTAACCTTGCCGACGGGTGTTATCGTTATGGCCCCGTGAAGCGCGACCGACGACCTGGGTCCGATGGACACAGCTTTCCATTCCGTCGATTCCACTTCAGTCATCTATCTAGCGGTGGTCAAGTCTTTTTACAATTTGCATCCAAACGTCTTCCGGAACTTGCTTCGACTATTGATATACTCAACCAAGTCGAGATCCGAACATTCACAAGCGCAACTTGGCAGCAGACTATTCACAATCTTACTCTTGGATGCACGTGTGAGAGGTGTCAAGGCGAAGAAATGGCATATCGTGATTGTTCACCTCAATTTTGCCTGAAACTCATCGCTGAGACAATAATCATCTTCTTGTGGATACTGTCCATAGCGGAAGTGGATTCGTCTATTAGCCTGCCTCACATGGACTTCGATCGCTCTACTCAATACACCGAGAGAAATCTAATCCCGTTAAGGACATTCGAAACACACGAAAACACTGGGGTCACACTCAGCCGGCATATTTCCCCACGTATGACATGGATATCTTGACAGCTGCCTTGACGGTCTTTTCTGGCCCAATAGAGAGCAATGGAAAAGAATCTTCTGCTCTTTCCTATGATGGTATCTGCGTTTTCTTCAAGGCCCTCGAAGATTTGAACTTATCACCGGAAGAAGCATCGCGTTTTATAGTTGTTGCTGGTCATATTCATTTTGAAGGATCGAAATACGAGAGAATACGTGATCTCACAGCTAATGCTGGAATTCCTAAACTCGACATTGGATCCCACATTTCTTATACCCTTGTCGCGCAAGAGACTCCGCAGCAAGGTTCTCTTGCAGCAGCTTACAAAATCTCGTCCAATGGACGGCCCTACGGCCACCTATTAGGGATATCACAGCTTGAGCACGCGATTGCCAAGTCAATCCAAGCACCAATCCAGTGTGGACCATCTTGTGACTGGACTCTTCTTTATCAAACTCGAGAGACTGTCATATTCGTCCCTGCACCCACGACCCAGAGATCTGGCGCGCTGCTACCATTGGAACCCCAATGGTCCCTTCTTTCAGCTCCTAGGATTGGCAAGGCTGGACAGATTAAACTGCAAGTTATGCAAGCCCCAATCTATCAACTTTATTTGGAAATAACCAAAGAAGTCGAGACCCATCAACTGGTCTATCTAAGCCTCTGTTCCCGCTGCCTCAACGGATTTTCACCATCTCCAGATCTTATCCATGAAAACATTCGGCTATCTCAAGGAATGCGTCGTCTCCCTCACAGAAGACCAGAAGGAACAATAACTGTAACTTTTCCGTCCGAGATTGGAGCTTCCATGAACAAGTGTTTTGAGATTTTCGTCGTGAGGAATTTTAGCGATAAAGTAAAAGAGATGTCCACTGGCAATGGACAGGTCCCCGAACTAGTGACGACGGTTTGTGAAAACGACAAAAAAGGCATTAGTAAACCGGTGTTACAAACAGCAGCAACAGTTGGACACCGAGGCTTGATGCAATTATTGTTACAAACGGGGACAGAGGGCTCTACAATGAGCGGAGGGGAAACGCCACTTCATTGTGCTGCTGGAAAAGATCACGACGAAGTTGTAAAACTTTTGATGGTAAGAGGAGCCGAACTCGACTCAAGGGACAAGGATGGCCAGACACCGCTGTCAAGAGCCGCGCATAAAGGACATAAGTCTACAGTGAAGCTCATGCTAAGGTATGGCGCTTATCGGGACTCAAGAGACAACTACGGGCAAATCGCGCTAGTATGGGCGGCTGCTCTAGGCCACATTGCGGTAGTGGAATTGCTACTTCAAGAGAAGGCGGATATCAATGCGGTACCTTCGAAGAATGGAAGAACAGCACTACAAGCGGCAGCAGAAGGAGGCCATCTTGCAGTTGTTGAGCGGCTACTCCAGGAGGAGGCAGATGTCAATGCAGCACCTGCAGTGAATGGCAGAACAGCACTGCAGGCGGCGGCAGGAGGAGGCCATCTGGCAGTTGTTGAGCGGCTGCTTCAAGAGAAGGCGGATGTCAATGCAGCACCTGCAGAGAATGGAAGAACAGCACTGCAGGCGGCAGCAGAAGGAGGCCATCTTGCAGTTGTTGAGCGTCTACAAGAACAGCTCTGCAGGCGGCAGTATGTCAAATGCAAGGTCTAGATCAAAGTCGCTGTCAAAATGTATGATCAAGGCTTTCCTTGGCTCCCTGAGATATAAGATAATACCGTAGCTAATGCATCATGTCACTCACCCTTAGGGCCAGCATAGATCAACTCATCGTCTTCTACGTTGATTTTTGCACCATGATCAATAAGCAGCTTGGCAGCCTTAAATTAGCAATACTCTGCTGCCCAATATAATGGAGTGCGGCGAGTCAAGTCTCTCCTATCCACCTCTGCTCCACGTTTAATGAGAAGCCCCATTATTTGTGTATGACCATTAACTTCAGATCTCTCAGATACGATCAGCATCCAAACTTCGCTCAGATGAGTGCTACTCACGTTAATGGGTGGCCGATTGAGAAATCATTGGACTGTACTTATTTATTTCTTTCATTCCCCTCAACAATGCACTGATTTTTTGGATGTGCATTGACTTCCTAGGAAATACAATGTTTCGACGACAAGTTCCCGATCTGATTGAAGCTATCAAAAAGGGGGATTTACCTGTTGTTGGATTTTCCGGATTGTCTTCACCCCCAATCCTGTGGAATTGATGGAAACTAGCTTACACTGTATTCCTCAACTGAATGCTTGATTATCTGACAAACTTGTGCTGTTCAAAGGGAAATTGTCCTCTGTATTGAAGAATCAATACCCCTCAGTATACAACGTGTTGCTTCCTATTGGTTGGCCAGTTGGCCGACTAGGGGCCGATCTGACATCTGTCGACCAAGAATACCTGGATAATGGAGTAAATCCTAATGCTCGTTATCTGAATGATGAGCAATACCAAAGAAGACCGCTATTGTCATATGCCGCGCTTCATCACAACTGCGCAGATCAAGGGTTTTTGCTTTGTTTCACTAACTTGCCTGTCCTAGTAGAATGCTGAAGAAAGACATCCTAAGTGAGAACGCCTCGCGGCCCAAAAGGGAAAACCACCAAACAGGAACACGAACACAGGGTCAATCCATCTGATATTGTCCCACCAGACGACCATTTCAATCTTAGACAATCTATATAGTATTAAATTAAATGGCTCAACAAATTTCATCATAGTGTAACGGAGGAATGCGGTCGGTCCTTCTAAGGTGCCTATAAAACCACTTCCGTATTCTTTTAGCCCTACTCTACCAATATGAGGGTCAGTCTTATAATCACAGCTCTTTTTGCACATTCATGGAAATTAACCTTGCGCCCAATCCCCTTTTGAGTGCTGATACATGTGCCCCTGGTCCACGGACTACTATGACTTCTTTCGCTGCCGGCGCGAAAACCAACGCCAACCCGTCTCACCAATACGAAGTTAACAGATCCAGAACCGGAGCCGGAGGCCAAATGGACCTCACACATGCAACTCGTTACCTTCCGAGCCACAGCTGATAATATCGCAAAACATTATCTCAAATGCAAAGGCGTGAGGCTTCACAGTCGGTCAGCTCGCAGCAGAAAGATATAGGACTTGAACGCATACAGGCAGGCTGTCAAAGACAGCAAGAAGATTCATATACATAGAAAGAGGATTGGGTAATCAGATGAAAATATAGCTATTCAGAAACGAAAGAAATATACATAAAAACCTGCTAGCGGAAAAATGAATACAGAAATCTTTCCGATTCGGAACGTGAAAAGCGCGATCTCCCCCAGGACCCAAAACAAATCCAAGGTCCCATAGTCCTGATGGACTAGCCCAGCAGTACTGTGCAAACTCAGTGTCTGAAAAGACCTTGGTTTGCTTGTTCTCGGTCTTGTACGACTTTTTTCCAGTATGAGTGATGGCGGAAATCACAAGCCATGGTCGTTTGGCCACGAAAGCTTTTCAATCTCTTTGAGATTGACTATCAGTAGTGCATTTTCAGCAGATACTCCTTGCTCTTCGAGGATGCAAACTTGTCCATCCGCAGAGAAATGTGGCTGTCTATCCCACAGGGCCATCTGGAGTCGGAGATGGTATTCCTTCCTGAGGTAAGGTATGATTTTCAGGCGACTTCTTATATTTCTCTTTAAAATTGAAGCTCTATATATTCACACGGTTTAAATTCACGAGTAAACAAGGCTTCCATGTTAATAGTTTGAAAGTTAGACATGGCAGTCAACTGGCCCCCATTGTTCGCCAGCTTCTTGAATGAGGCCAAATTGTCGGACGAGGAAGGATTGGAGGTGGCCGAGTTTTGATCTTCAATAACCCAGCAGCAATACTCAACGCGGCTCATAAAGACTTTGCGCAGAAGTTAGCCCTGAATATGGAGAGTCTCTGGACTGGTGGAGCTCTGGATCGTGGACTCTGCGCTCGATTGTGTCGGTGGAGAGGTTATTGGATAAGCTTGTTCCCACAGTCTTTCTCTATGCAATTGAGAAGTATGCATACCAGTATCAACCACCTTTGTCTCTTGGCTGGAAGAACTGCCGGTCCACAATCTTCCATTCGACTCTCTGCATGGCTGTACTCACGATAGTCACTATCCCCTGAATCATTGCTTGCTAGATAGATTCATAGTTGGGTTTGACTGCACTTCGTAGCTTTCCGTAATAAAAGTAAATCGTCCGTTAATAGTATTGATACAGCAGAATAAAAGTGCTTAAATTGAAGATCAACTTGATGATTCATATTTGGTATCGTATACGCGGCCTTCCTGTCAGATCCCAACGACCTCAATACAATGCTCATCTCGTCTATGCATATGCTCACAATTAATATTCGACATCTCAAGTCAAGAGTTTAGGCTGGAATAAAATGATCTGGAGGATGTCGCGACTGTCGTAGGTTATATCGGCGACTGGGAGTTGGGCTCTCCACACGTTGCCGGACAGAAACCGTACCAATGCTCAATTTTCGAGCTCTTGATTTTCTGCGACCCTTTTTTTCAATATTTGACTGTCTACTGTCCCCTTTCTTTTTAAGTGTGGTACTGTATCGGACCTGTAGAGCACCTTTCGTCCTTCCTGGAAATTGTGCGGCGATGTCCGACCATCGCAGCTTTCTGACTTCCTTCAGATGTATGATCAGCTCATCTTCCTGAGGACTATAATCGTTGCCTTTGGTCGATACGGAGATTCTCCCAAACTGTGAGGATTCAACATTTCCTATAATGTCGTCTTCACCCAGCATGCAGTCCTCGTCATGGGATGGTCGATCAATCTGAAGTGGTGTGGATTTCTCTTTGAATGAACAAGACTGCCAGCACATTGTCAGAATGATACAAAAATCATCGAGAGGTAAAATTCACCAACCTTCCAAATATGCGTCCTGTTTGCAATTACAGTAACGAACGTATTTTCTACCGCTATATCCCAGAAATTTGTCAGGTCGTACAGAAAAGGGCTACGACGGTGAGTAGCGCTCCACGGCTCGCCGAGCCCGAACGGGCCGCGAACGACTTGTCACACCTGACGCGGTGTCCAGAGTATCCTTCGTACGATTTTGAAGGACGGGTTCGATGGATGGCGAGGTCGAATCCTTGACAGCTGTGTAATATCGGACCTGGACTGCTCCCGCCGTCCGAGTGGGGAAGTGCTTCTTAACTTGAGACCATGGCAGTTTATCCTTTTCTCTCGGCTGTTTCAAACGAGCATCCTCTTCTGGGGTCCACTCCTTGCGTTTGAGTGGCTTCCCTGGGTTTGCTATTCGCGCGCTCAACTGACTATCTTGTTGTTTGCTGCACGATATTTACTTACTTCGACTTTCAATTCACCTGAAAGATTCTCTAACGATATTCTGCCGCCGGAAGGCGACTTTAATTCTAGAAAGGCTGTGTTCGACTATGTCAATTCCTGGGCGAAGCCTCGAGGCTATGCTTTTACAACTAGCAAATCCTTGAAGATATCTAATGGCCGAGTGAAGGTTTTCTTCGCATGCGATAGAAATAAGGCTCCTCCTAGTCCATCGTTCAACTGAAAGCGCAGGACAACGAGCCAACGCATGAATTGTTTATTCTCAGTGGTGGCTAAGGAGTCTTTGGATGGGACCACTTGGGCATTAAGACATCAGCCTAACCCCAAATTCTGTAAACATAACTATCCGCCATCCACCGAACTTTCAGTACACCGAACACACCGTCAGCTCCCAGATAAGGATGTTAATGCAATTACTAACCTAACAACAGCAGGCGTTCCTCCTCGAGAAATCAGGACTTACATCCGTCAGACTTCCAATGCTCTCACAACCCAGCAAGATATCTATAACCTTGCGGCGTCAACACGACGAAAGCTCGTCCAGGGACAAAGCAGCATCCAAGCCCTGGTTAATCAACTGAATGACGAGGGCTTTTGGAGCTGTGTTTAAGTGGATGCAGGCAACCGGCTGACCGCCATCTTCTTTGCCCATCCGGACTTAGTGACATATCTGCAGCAAAATCCGGATATCCTGATACTGGATTGCACGTATAAAACAAATAAGTATGGACTCCCACTTCTTGATATGATTGGAGTGGATTGTTGCCAGCGATCCTTCTGTATTGCGTTTGCCTTTCTCTCCAGTAAAGTAGAAGAGCAATACACGTGGGCACTGACTCAGCTCAAATCGCTCTATCAGGGCGTACTCCCGTCCGTCATCCTAACTGATCGCTGCGTGGCAGCAATGAATGCTGTTGATAACTCTTTCTCAATGTCAAGAAGTTTGCTTTGTCTCTGGCATGCCAATAAAGCAGTGGTACGCCACTGCCAGCCATTCTTTGGAGTGAAAAGAGAACAAGCAATCTAGGCAGAGGAAAATTTATGGAAAGAGTTCTATGTGGGATGGCACACGATTGTTGCGTCTAGCACAGAACTGGTATTTAAGCAACGTTTCGCTGATTTTCAGCTCAAATATGCGCAGTATCAAAACTGCCTTGAGCCGCTTCGGTATATCAAAGACGAGTGGTTAGATGTATATAAAGAAAAGATCGTGAAGGCCTGGGTGGACCGGCATCTCCACTTTAGTAATGTTGCTACTTCCAGGTAACTTTTCAATTTACACAAGTAGTGATGGTACTAATACAATAGTCTTTAGGGTTAAGGGGATCCATGCATTAATCAAATCTCATATCAAGAAGTCCACAATTGATCTCTTTGAAGCGTGGAGGCTGATAAAACAAGCAGTTGTGAACCAAGTCAGCGAGTTAAAGCATATTCGAGCCTGTCAGTGTTCTAGAAAGCCACTTGATCTATCAAGTAAGGCATTTGAGGCAGTACATGGCTTGGTATCATATCAAGCTCTGCGGAAGGTTAACGAGCAGTTGGAATTGCTCTCCAAACCATCTTTAGCTCCGTGCCGTGGGCTATTTACTTCGTCTCTTGGGATTCCCTGTGCACATGCATTGAAGAGACTCTTAGAAACACAAGAAACACTGGTTCCCTAACCCTAAGAATCACTTTCATCCTTATTAGCATCTAAAGAGATCCCAACAACCGTCTCAAACAGCAATATTATAACCCTTTCGATCGGCAGAATATACTAAAAAGGTATCGGGCAAAGGAGCTTCTAGCACAAGATGTGAGCCCTCTAGATTTAAACTTGTTGAGGGTAGAGTAAGGGCTCCTATAACGTGTAGCAGATGCCATCAAATTGAACACAACAGAAAATCACTGCGCTGTCCCTTAAAACACCCAGATCTGACCGCACCAAGACAACCACCACCCACCAGTTCCAGTAACATTATACCGATTCCTACGACCCAAATTCGCTGATCTAGTCAGTTATCCGGACAGCCAGCCCAGTTTAGGCACGCAGCCATACAGAGCGAGAATCAGTTCGAAAATCAAACAGTCACGCCATCTGATACAGCATTTTCTCGAATTACATAATCGCCACAAGAATTCACAGCTGACGCCAAGGCGAGCACTAACGTAAACAATACGTATAAGGAACTAGGTCTATTTTCCGGCACTCCTCTAAAACCACTATCTAGGAGTATTGAACCTGTTTTGATATACAAGATTCCATAGAAGTGATAGCATCATCTCGAGATTGCGCAGTAGTGTCTGGTCTAATGGTCAGCTTATCCCTTATCACTATCAAGCCTAAAGCCACTAGGATCATATCGATCCTCAGTCCATAGCAACCTGAAGGTACATGTAATCTATAAGGACGTGTCATTTACAGGCTTACAGCACCACTTTCGACACCTCGAACGTCTGTACCGCTCCGGTGGGAAAGTACGACCAAAACTTGGTCCCGCTGATATATGTATCATTGTGGCTACTATACTGGTCGCCAGTTCCGACTTGGGTGATCCAGCGCGGGACCACAGCGCCGCTGACCCCCGGACTGCTGAAGTCGGAGAGCTCAAAGTTGAGGTACTGGGCAGCACCCCAGTTCGCAGCAACGATGACCAGCTTCTGGGCCGTGGAGTCGTATGCTGCGACGGTGTAGTCGCTCCCGCCGTCCAGGATGCGCATCCCAGGCCGAATGTGGCGAGTGAATTGCGATAGCGCAAAGTACTTCTGGCTGATGGCTCCGAGAGAAACATTATCATTGTCCCCATCAATTAGGCCCCAGCCAGAGCCATCGATGGCCTGCCAGTACACCCAGGCCGTAGGGTGGAGCCAGCGGAAGTCGAGGAGCAGGTTGGTGACGAGGCTCTCGCCCGTCGCATCGCTCTCACCGTACTCACTATTCCAGAGCCGCTTGCCGGCGCCGGACGCCAGGCTGTACAGCGTATCCCGCCGTCCCCCAGAGTACTGGTATCCGTGGACGTTGATGCGGCCGACATTGCTCGTCGCTGTATTCCCGAGGTTGTTCCACGTGGAAATAGCCAAGTCATAGGTGTTTTCGTCTGAGGCTGAGATCAGGGTCGAGCTGAGTCCTCGGTTGTTCAATTCCGTGCGCAGATCCCCAATCACGGTCGCCTGAGTGCTGAAGTTAAAGTGGCAACCTTCTTGGGTTCCTGTTTTGCCATTCCACCAGTCCGAGGACGGCTCGTTGAAGGCTTCAACGGACTGAAAGGACACCCCCCAGTTATTCGCGGCGTATTCGGCAATGGTGGCGAGATATACCGCATGCTGGTCGTAATTCCACGATTGCAAGTTGTCGCTGGAGCCGTCGTCAGATCCAGAAGGGTTGTGGTTGAGACACATCCACCACGGTGGGGAGTTGGAGAAGAGCTCGAAGATGTTTGCGCCGCGGGCTTTGGCCATAGACAACATGTTACGCTGGTTTTCGTCGACGCTCCAGCTCCAGCTTGACGATGACGGCGAGGAGTTGAACCAGTCCACCCAGTAGCTTTCCATCTGTCGCGAGGCAATCATGTCGGGCGACACAACCATCGCAGAGCCGTTGACAGTTTTCCAGCTGCAAGCCCCGGCGTTATACCGTGCAATGGTGAGCCCCATGCCGGGAATGCTCTGCCCATTGTAGGTTGTCCACTCCGTGGAGAAAAAGATGTCAGCCAAGTCACTCCGTGTGCCAAACGCCTTGGCCCACCATGCAAGGGACACGCCGAAACCCTCCCAAGTGCCCCAATTTGCGGCGGAGCTAATGGTCGTCGTCAAGTCGGCAGAACCAGTTGGCACCGTGGCGGCACTCAACGCTAGCCCCAGGAGCCATTCACGATTCAATGTCTGCTTCATGATGATGATAGCGGTCTTAGCAAGAAACAAACCCAATCCTAAAAACACTGCATCAATCGAGTGGAGGACTTGGGGCGGTCACAACAAGGACGGGTTGCAGGGCCTTTATCTCCTCATACATTTTTCTGGATCATGGTAGTTGATGAAACCACCTCGGGGATATCGGGAACGGTGTGGAGGCGGAGATTCTGCAGAGTTGCTCGCCATAACTGGCCTCTATGGTCATACGCCGTCCACTTGCGTACTTCCGCGACTTCATAGTACGAGGTCGGTGGATGGGAACGGCCTATGCGACTCTTTCCCGCGACACTCCCCCGCCCAAACGTTACGTTGAGCATCCGACATCCCCGGCTCACGCTATGCCCGCTTCGGCAAAGTCCAATTAACCACTTACATCAGAAGGATATTGTCGGAACGTGAATATCAAACCCTACGCGTTTCGGCACCGGACTACTTAGTCTCACGTGGCACGTGCGTGCCGCGTGTATATCTAACTAGCTATCCCCCCGTTCCCCCTCGTTCTTAGCAATAAGTCACAATATTAGGAATCAAGATATCTTCATATTGTCAGGCTCATTAGGCCGCTTCGTGTTCGCGCCTTACTACCGTCTATGCTTCGTGATACGGACCGTAGTTAAACCAACACTGGAAAATGCCATATAATAGGTTCCATACTTGCGTTACTTTGCAAAATAGAATTTGCATATAAGATCGGAAACCTCAGCTTGCTCATCTAAAGATATATAGCTATAAAGCATATGCCCTCACATCAGAGTATCAACTCAAGAAAAATCGACTTCAACGCTTCAATCCGCGAGCATAGGTAGGCTATCTTGTCGGATATGACTCAACAAATGTTTATAGGATTTGGAATCCTTCGACAGGAAGAATCGTGCGAGCAAGGGACGTTATTTTTAACAAGGACAAAGTCTTCAGTAGAGATATCCAAAATATCAAGGATAATCTCCTTCATGTGTCTGTTGAAGAACTAACAATCTTGCTAAACAAGATAGATATCCAAGTACAGTCAGGTGAAGTCAAAGATAATGCTAACTTTGGAGATGAGATGAAGGATTTAGTGTTTGACAGAAATAGGCACAATAATGAGCATACGACAACAACAGACTCAGTGACTGGTTCTAGATTTGAAGATTTAAGTCAGCTTGGTTCAGACTATCCAAGCGGCCCAACTCTGACGCTAGGAGAAGGATTGTTAGAGGGGATTGATAAATATGCTTATCCTACATCTCCAGATACGCCTCCGAGCGCGCTGTTGGCAGCTAGCATAACTATCGTCTATGAAAATGACCTCAACCTCTGTTAGAGCTCTGAGCATGCAGCTAGAACATCAACTAGCGGGGTCAGGCCCAGAGGGTCACTTGTTCAGGAAGCAACCATTAAGGAAGGTCCCAGAGGGACTCTTAGTGGTGTAGGTATGGACAGACCCAGAGGATCGCATGCTGAGTTTGGGGACAGGCCCAGAGGGTCGCCCAATCTGCGTGACTCCATGGCAGGTGTCAGAGAGGCTCATGGCAGCATATCCTTAAGGACGGACCCAGAGGGTCGCTTGAGAAGAACGGGGTAGGCTTCAGAGAGGCTCCCGTTAAAACCGTCGCCGCTGCTTTGACTACGCAACGAGCAGAGCTCAATCCTTGGAGGTTTGCTTTTCTAGTAGGCATATGATATCGTCAGTACGAGGTGAACACAGTCAAATTTGATCACATGAGCCTCTAACAACATCTAAGGTTAGGACGTCAACTTCAGTCAGTTCTAGTTCGCAATCCACCGCCTGCTCCCAAGAGTCACTGTGAAGTGGAAACACATCCTTTAGGTTGGTTATTTAAGGAGGCTGAGAGAGATCACCTTAAAAGTCACGATCCATCTGGCTCTTGGACAACGGTGCCTATCGGTAAGGTAAAAGGAAAGCAGATTCTCAATTATATATAGGTATATATCTATAAGCAGGACAAGAAAGGTCGTCTAGTCAAGTACAAGACACGACTCGTGGTAAGAGGTGACCAAGAGAAAAGAGATGATACGAGGGACACGTATGCTGCTACTCTTGCTGTGAGATCTTTTAGGACATTTATGGCTATTGCTGTACACTTTAATCTAGAACTCAAGCAATATAACGCTGTCAATGTCTTCATTAATGCCATACTGGACAAAGAGATCTTTATAAGAATGGCTCCTAGATATCATGAACCTGGAAAAATATATCAACTGAACAAGACTCTCTATGGATTGCATAGATCACCACTTCTATAGCAAAAGGAACTTACTAGTACCCTCATAGAGTTAGGCTTCAAAGCAGTACCTCATGAACCCTATTGCATGTTGAAATCTGGGATCATACTGTTCTTTTATATAGACAATATCGTTATTATATATAAGAAGAGCTATCAACTAGAAGCTGACTCAGTTATGAACTAACTTTGCGCCAAATACAAAATATCTGGAGGAGGAGACCTGGAGTGGTTCCTAGGCATGAGAGTTATACAGGATCGAAGCAATAAGGTGATCTGGCTCAGTCAAGCCACCTATATTAATAAAATTGCGAAGTTAGCTGACACTCAACAAACTGACAACACACTAATATCTTGAGAAGAATTACTCCTATATAAAGGAACAGCTACTCACAAGAGTCAGCATTAGTATCAACGCAAAATTGGCTCAATCATATATGTGTGTAATGGGAGGTTAGTCCGTTGGTTAGACAGGAGGAATTATCAATATGGCGGAAGGTCGTTCGGTGACTTCCAGATGTTCATTAACAAAGGGTACTGTTCCTAATGTACAGAGACTGAAGCTTGAGAAAGGAAAACAATCCTAGTTACAAGGAATCTCCTTCTTATGCATGCGTGAGTCGCCGACAGGAGATATCAAGTTATCCACCTAATTGGTGTGACTTGTGGCTTGTCACAGATATCATATGTACTGTTTCAGGCTTTAGTACTGTTACAATGTGGCTGTAAGCACTCGACCTGACGTGGCTTTTGCTATCTCATGGCTTTCACAGTTCTTGTTAAATCCTGGACCAAAGCACCATCAAGCTGCTGATAAGGTTTTATGCTATCTCAAACGTCATCGTGCGTATGCCTTGAGGCTTGGAGGAGGTGAAGATTATTCAGTATTAACAGACGCCTCCTGTGCAGATAATATACTCGACTGTAAGAGCTTGCAAGTATACGTCATAACACTTTTTGGAGGAATGATAGAATGGCAAGTGAATAAGTAGGATACAGTAACAACGTCAACCACTGAAGCTGAATTGTTAGCTCTCGCTCAGAGGGTGAAAGAAGGCAAATATGTGCGTTAATTGCTTCTAGAGTTGGAGATACGTTTTAGAACACCTACTCTTCATGTTTTCTGCGATAACCAGTAAACTCTAGGATTGCTGGAGAAGGACGCTCCGTGACTGCGTACGAAGCTCCGACATGTCGATATTTATAATCACTGGGTATAACAAGAGGTGCAGAAGGGAGATATCCAAATACACTACATGCCCATAAAAGATATGATTGCAAATGGCCTGACCAAGGCACTCAGCAAGCAGGAACATCAAAAGTTTCTTAATCAAATTGGAGTAGAGGATATCGATAGCTATCTCGCTCCCCAGCAAATGGATATAGAGAACCTGGATATCAAGGAACTGCTTTCTCTCAATGGCATGCCTAAAGAAATTTCCAGCTTTGCAAGCAGTGCTTTCTGCAGCTGAGAGGGTGTGTCCGATAACCGGGATATCCGGCGATGTAGAAGATAGGCTATTTGATCAGGTCATCCAGTCACCTCAAGCTACCTACACTTCAGCAAATAAGGAGTCATCTTCTTATCAGGGCTCAATATAGCCCTCAAAGTTTACCCCTCATGATAGCTCACAAAAGACCCCGCAAAAAGTGTCTATGAAGGACCCGGCATTGAACCTGATGTATTAGACAGGGACGGAGAGAACCCAATACACACAATCTTGCTAGTCACTTCTTTTTCTTTGATCCTAGTAAAACACTTCTCAGGATTGGTCTGGAATAAACCGACTAATCCGACAGCTTTATTCCCACCAGGACCTGTAGGTAGCAAACCAACCTAGCAACAAAGATTTCGGGGTTACATGCAGACAGCCCTAAGACAAAGTATGCATGGTTGGAAGGGAGAATTACTTTATTCACTTCGACCTCTCTATTTCCTATATCTATTTCCACATCTTTCATAAGCTTTTATACTCTGCTATGAAAATATACCTTCCAACATCCACAAATTAGCGTCATGATTTGAGCGCGAACTGATAAATAAAATTTCAGTTGTGATGATTGAATGCTGATTTCAAGAACAGCTATTCTTGCCTTCAGGTGTAAAGACAGATTTCTATCGTGTCTTCATGATCGTTTCCTGGCTCGTTACCATCCAGTCTGCTGTCGCATGGGCCAACCTAACACATATCAACCAGCATTCCTACAAATATGCAGGTCAGACCTTGAGAGGTATGGACATATTCTTAGTTGCTCTACGCAACATGGTGATTGTCTACCTCGTCTTGAAGTGGGCGGGGGATAGAAAACAGCACCCGAGAACGCCTATACCACCACGTGCTCTACACGGTCACATTTGTGATGTCGACAGCGGAGAAAGTGAGCTACTGACCGAAAGAGACAAGTTTCGTGACAAGGTAGAGTTGGTATGGACTCTTGTTAGTAGTGTCATCATGCTACTATATCATATTGAGAGCTTGCAAAAGATGCCTGCTTCTCTCTCATGGCGGCGTCTTCAGACAAGATGCAGCCTTTCTCGGTGGATATCGGTGCTTCTCGTGATTCTTAAACTAGTATTTACCATTGCTGACGTGGTATTTTTATGGTCATGAATGTAGCAGATAATTATGGACATGACTTATTCACTAAGCTGTGGTTGGTCATTTGATTTCTAATTGATGAATGGCAAACTGTATATCTCGCAGACATTGTTTTGGTTATCTTTGCGCGGTCAGCTGCGCTTGAGGATGGGGAGGAATATAGTACTTTGGGGGTTTAAATGGATTGAGACTTTCATTTCGCTCTATGGATGCTAGATAGCGTATATCTAAATCTCTAGATTTCAACTTATCACTCTCTCGGCCGTCTCTAGCAAAGGTGGAACTTTCCACTTCCCAATCACTTCCTTCCATAGTTTCATGAACTGGAACATTTTACTCTCACTTCCAGCTCCTCCAATGATCATCAGTCCTTGGGGCTGACCCAGTCCTGCTGAACCCTTTAATCGACTCATTGGAACCATTGCTTTAGGGGAACCTGCCAGAGCGGCGACTGCACAAATTTCACAATCACCCGGGCCGATGATCACATCAATTTTATTCTCTGTCAGAGCAGCGTCAATCCCCTGCGAGCCAGCTAAGAGTTTCCCGTGCGCTTTAGCAGCTGAAGCGGTTTCATCGGTCATTGTAGACTCTAACGTTTGAATAAGATCCGTTTGGTCAGTATGGGCTTTGGTCAGTTTGTCAGTAAAGATTCTGTTAGAAAGACGTTGGAAAGTTAACCTACGTTCAGGCATAGCATGGGCAGCATTTTTATTGTTGAATTCAACCAACTCCGGGACGGAGCTTACTTCTGGGTCGTACAACTCCACGCAAAACTTTTCAAACTGCCTCGGGAATTCGAAAACTATGAAAAATTGTTAATGTGGCTCCAGAATTATTGATATCTCAAAGCGTTGTACGTTGAACTTACATGAGACCGAATGGCTAACACTCTTTTCCTCGTACCTAAGATCATTCATTGAGGGCAGCTTGACGGGATAAGCTATCTTCGCACCTCGTTGGGCTATTTGGGTTCTTGCCCATTCATATTCGTCGAGCTAATTTTTTTCAATGAGTCTTAGGATTGTGAATTTTCTCGTAGCGAGCTTACAATCTGCCTTTCCACACCCTCGTCCCGGAATTTTTGAAACCCAAAAGCGTTCCATACCATGGGATCAACGAAACCAACTGAGATATCTTCCCACTTCAGAGGCAGCTCGTCTCTGGCTTGAGTTGATAGGAGTATATTCATCAACATCTCGAGATCCTCGGGAGATTTCGTCATACCGCCTAGCCCGTCGAAACTTCGGCTGAGGGTGAACAATCCATCTGTTGGAACGGTCCCTAACGTTGCTGTCATGGAATATAAACCCGCCCTATTTGCAGGCATACAGATCGACCCCCCTGTTTCGGTTCCTACAGATAGAGGCGCAAACCCAGCGGACACTCCCACGCCAGATCCAGAGGATGAGCCTCCAGGACCCGAACGACCACAAAAGAGATCATCTTCGCGAAACCCACCAACGATATAGGCTGACTGAGTTTGGCCATTTACAGCAGACCATCCAGCTGTAATACAGGTCGCCTTAAGGCCACAGAACTCCGTCATACTAGCTTTCCCTATAATGACTAGACCACTCTGTATCAGCAGTTCAACAATTGGTGCATTTCTCTTCCCGTAGGCCTCTTTGAAAGCAAAGGCTCCCGCAGTTGTAGGCATTCCGAGTGCCTTGGATGTGACTATAGCATCTTTGATGATAATAGGGATTCCATGGAGTGCACTACGGATTTTGCCATTAAGTCTTTCGGTATCGAGTTTTGCAGCTCGAGACAGGACAGCCTCCCGAGATGCAGTTGAAATGATTGCCCGTAGTTTAAGTCCTGTCTTATTGTGCCTCTCGATTTGTGCTAGATAGGCATCCACAATATCGACAGTAGTTGTTTGACCAGCCTCTAATAAACGGCATAGGTCTGTCGCTGTCGTTGTTAGGATGTCAAAAGAAAGCTTTTTCTGGGTAATTTCCATGGTGGCGTGTTCAATCTAGACAACACAGGGACTGCGCCTTTGTATATAGAGGCTAGATAAGGTTCAATAATTTCTTATATAGAGAAAACCCAAACGCTTCTATCGTTGAACCATAATTAATTTCAGCAGGAATGTTGCCTATTCGATCTTAAAGGTCTAAAAGACACCTTAAGGCATATATCTGGGCACCTAGATTTCAGCCCAATATTTACCCCTCATGATAGCTTACAAATCACCCCGCCAAAAGTGTCTATAAAAGACGCGTGTTACGTCTAATACTCACTATAAGGGCATATTCGAATAGAAAACATAACATGAGGAAAGGAAAGAGAAAGGAAACAACAGGTTCTTCACACCCATACAATTTTATATGGGAAAGGGGAATTAGGGGCTTCCAACAGGCTTCTTCCGGGAACACGGGGTTGCCTGATATCGTATGACTCCGGACATCGTACGACTCCGGATAGGCGATGTTGCGCAAGCATGCGGGATCTGGGAATAGCTTCATATTCGGGTTTGCCGGGATCCGGCGCCTAGCGCTGTTGTCAATATCCGTGAGGGCTTCGCCCAAACATACTCATGAGGTTAGCTCATAACACCGGGCATTGAACCTGATGTATTCAACAGGAAGAGGGACAACCAAATACCCATCTCGTCGCTTAGCCTCCCCACCTAGCGGTTGGGAGTCTGCCGGGGCTCAACGTACACCGGAGCTCAACGTACAAAATTGTAAAAATCGCAACCCGGCATTTTCCACCGTCCAAAACACCGCAAAAATGACCGCTGAGCAATACAATAATCACCAAGGCTGTTTACGCGTATAAACACGGAAAAATCAAAAATGTCTCGAAATTAGCGCGTGAATTTGGAGTTTCTCGCTCGAGGCTCTATCGCCGGATTAACGGGACACCCTCTCGCTCAACCCGACTCGCAGCGAATAGGTTATTATCAATTGATCAAGAAAAAGCGCTTTTCTTATGGCATCAATATCTAGATAATATGGGCGCTGCACCTACACCACGCCAAATCGAAGAAAACGCGAATTATTTGATTACGAAGGATTGGACCGGTCAGGGTGAGCCACGAAGAGCTGGCAAGGACTGGGTTTATGAATATCTTAAGCGCTTGCCAAAAGAATATCAACGAATTGTACAACAACCTCAAGAAGTCGATCGTACGGCCGCTGAGCACTACGGGCAAATTGAACGGTGGTTTATTGACTTAAAAATCACTATGAAAAACCTCAAAATTACACCTGCAAATCTATGGAACTTTGACGAGACCGGATTCATTGTTGGACAAGGAAAAAAGGAAGCAGTGGTCACAGCATACCCAAAAACATCAAAAAGAATTTCTAGTCTGTCTTCTCGCGAATCTCTCACCGTCGTTGAGTCTATAAACGCCGAAGGAAAGGTTATACCGCCGTTAATTATCCCAAAGGGTGTTGTACATCTGGAGGAATGGTATAAGCATATAAAAGATGAGGATTGGCTTATTGCACCAGCTTCAAATGGCTTTATCACGGATGAGATTGCATTTGAATGGTTACAACATTTTAATCGGTTTACGGACGATGGCAAGAATTGGCGGTTATTAATCATGGATAATCATACAACTCATCTCACGATACCGTTTCTTGATTATTGCAAAATGTGTCGCATTCAAGTATTTGCTTTTCCTGCGCATTCTACTCATCTTTTACAACCGCTTGATGGAGTCCCATTTCAACAATATAAACATGTTCACGGACGAGTGGTGAATAAGATTGCTCGGCTTGGTGGCTTCGATTTTGATAAAAATGACTTTTTTAAGGAGCTACACGATATCCGGATAGAGACCTTTACACCACGAATTATCCGCCATGGTTGGAAAGATCGTGGGATTTGGCCTTACAATCCTCGCGCTGTATTAGACCTCATGGTCCAACCTGAGGATACGATTATTGATGATGGAAATACGTTAAAAATCTATGGTGAGAATGATGATACGATTCCCAGCTCACCAACCATCAAGTCGATATCACCTCCTTCATCCGTGCAAAAACTACGTCGCTATGTCAACAAGATCGAGAAATCACTTGATGGCATAAAGGATATCTTAGATGAGAGCAGCCCGGGCCTCATACGCCGTATAAAAACGGTTAACCAAGGGAGTCTTATAATGGCTGATTTGGGTGAGCTACACCGTGAGAACTTCACACGGATTCGTGATACTGCCGAACGTAAGGCTGCAAAAAAAACTAAGCGCCAGTTTAAGGCCGTTGGTGCGCTTTATGTAAAAGATGCAAACCGCCTCATAAAACGCCGCCATGATGGAGATTTGATGAAAATTCATAAACTGTGGGTGCACTAAGGTGCATATACGTACGTACGAAGCACTTGAGTCAATCTCAATAGGTGATTCTTTCAGTTCTGTGTGTTCACTTCTTCTAAGTACATCATGTTCCAAAGCCGCGTCTATATAGACCTTCTCCTGAGCTGATTTGTAAGCTATCCCATGGGCCATGGGGTAAACCTGAGACCATTCTCTTACACATAACAGTTTCGGATTGATCGCTTCATTTGATGGCTTCATTGGAAAGCCAGCTTATCTGACACATCTCGATTGCATGAAGCAACCAACATAAACGCTATATCCTTGCAGAGCGGCAACCGGGTGAGGAAGAGGAGGCTCCAGCGCCTCAAACCCCGGGCTTTTTTATCGATACTACGGGTAATAGGTAAATCGTATACAGTATTTTTATTTGTTTAGTTTTTATATATAAAATATATGGCGTTGGTGGACTTGGTAACATTTTACACAAATATTGTACGTTGAGCTCCGGTGTACGTTGAGCCCCGGCAGACTCCCAACCGCTAGGTGGGGAGGCTAAGCGACGAGACGGGTACAGATAATCTTGCTAGTCATCTTTTCTTTTCTTCATCCTAGTAAACCACTATTCAGGATTGGCCTGGAATAAACCTACCAATCCGACAAGTGGGAGCCCTAATCGCGCCACATCCCAAATCGAAATTTATCTAAATTATGAAGGTTTTCTATCGTAAAGATAATGAGTTTTGCTCTCGGGTTCAGAAATACTAGGATAATTTTGACATTTATTACAGCAAGACTGATGACTCACCTCTTTATGTTGCTGCGCTTATATCTCATCCAAACCGTCGTACAACAATATATCTACGCAAATTGGAAAACAAACTGGCAAAAGCTTGGGATCAACAAGGTTAAGAAGCCCTGGCGCACCTACCGAGAGAGGGCTCCTTCTCCGGCAACAATAGGGCAGTAACAAAGCTTCGGAGGATTCTCAATTTCATGTGAATAGACATAGAGGAAAAAACACACCCATACATTCTTGTTTCAAAACTTCTTGCCATATCGTTAGTCTATATATAACCCTGATGCTTCTCCAGTTTCGGACATAATTCCTCCACGACTTCGATCATGTCCTCCGTCACACAAGGTGATGTAACGCACTAATTTTTCCCGATACTGTGGTTGGAAACAAATTTCGGAATCTTGCTATTACTGGTTTGCTGGATTAACCATGCAGTAGTCAGTATTATGCTTCGACAGATCAGGGTTTCCTGCCCAGGTAGGGAATGGATGAGCGGTGCCGCTGCCTCCTGCGACAGCGAATGTGAGGATAAAGATCATAATCTGGGTGCCACCGTCCATTGCCGCAGAGATAAGATAATTCCATTCGACGAAGAACCTGGGGTAGAATTTTCGAATATACCACTGGAAGACAAACGCGATGATGAAGAAGGTGGTGAAACCACTGTTGATACCAACGTAGAGATTGCCCATGAACCAGAGAATAATTGACGGATTAAGGTAGCCCCAGAGCCTGTTGCCAGTCACTTTGTACATAATGTACGCTGGAATAGGGACGAGGAATCCCAACAGGAACACGACTGTGACCCACTCATAACGCGCGCCGATACTGAACATTTTGGGCGCTATGCTCCATGCTATAGCTAAGGTATTGAAGATTTGGATGTTTTGTCCGGACCAAATACTAGTACCCTGAATAGACTCCAAGATGGGAGCCTGCGCGGACACAATGGTCTCCATCATAACCCAGTTCATGAGCGCTCCTACCACACAACCAGCGATCTGGATCACGAAGGTTATGCGCGGCGGCAAATGCGAGTATTGAGCTAATCTCAAATCCTTGGCTAAGAGCTGAGCCTGGTTAGTTGCATTGTACGTGAAGCAAGTGAAGTAGAAGTTAGCGAGTGGACGACCAGGGAACATGTATCCAGCAAGCATCTGAAAAATAGGTTGCAAATTGAATTGGAAGCCTGTCATTCCATATTGGGCACCAAAGAAGAGAGTGAACACAAAAGTAAACAATGTGGCAAGTATAAATCCCCACCAAGGCAAAGTGGACTGTAAAGTTTTTAGCAAAGATCTCGAAAGGGGGAACTAGACTCCGCAAAGCACATGTAACAAATCATCAACGAATACGTACCTCTAATGCGTAAAGACAGCCAAGACCAACAGCCCAGCAGACGGCAAGGACGGCAGTCCACCACCACAGGGGTACTTCTATGTACTTATTCCTCAGGATCAGCTTGTAGTGGGGGTCTAGAGTTGGGTCATTCTCCTTTCTTCGTAGCCTCTCCTCAGGAGTTTCCTGGTTTCTCCAGAACAAAAGCCCCTGAGTACTAAAGACCTTTTGAAGGATTGACGGGGATGCCCAGCTCCATGCAGCCTTCAGGTCGTGCCAGTTCCACAAAAGCATGTATACAAGTGTAGCCGTCATGCCCATGTTTGTGGTGATGAGGTAGGCTACGTAGGTTGCTGTCAGATAGGGGATACCCTGGGCATCAAGCTTTTCATATTCGATCTCGAACTTGTCATTTAATATGAGAGACTGATTGTAGACATTGTAGGTCGTCGAGTTTGCATCCGTGAGATTGAAGAGTTCCTGAGAGAGAAAAGGCAAGCTCTTGGCCTCCCAAATGTTGCCGTAATATAGTCCTGGAGCCGAAGATAAATCAGGATACAGCTGCCCGGAGCTCAGCGAAAGAGCAGGATTCACTCACCTATGAAAAGTGCGTAGCAACCAACGATTCCAATCAATGTATTCACAGTACTTTGAAGCGGATACCAAAGCGGATTGAAGAAGGGTGCAATATAGTTCCAGTCAAACGAGATGTTTAGCACTCCTAGGCCTTCATTTCCTGTAGCTCCGCCAAAGAAATTGGTGAAGAATAGGTTATGCTGATCGGCAAGACAGAAAATTGAAATGCCAATTAAGGTAGTGAAAATGTATTCGGGAAAGATCTCCCAGACGAAAATAGCCAGGAAAACAGCATACCAGACTCGCATCTTTCGCTTGGTCTCCTTTCGGTCTCTGTGGATTGTTTCAAGCAAACTAGAAACCGGGATCGTCATCGGCCAGATCATGTTCGTGGGGTATACGATGACGTCGCGCAATAGCCCAGCAACGCCGAAGCCAATAAGCTGAGATGTCAGGACAATGAATATGCCGGCTGCTTTACTCGGGTAGCCTCCGTAGAAGAGGTATTGAGCGGCGAGCGCCTCAGTAGCTAACGCAGACTGCGACGCTGCTGATGCCATGATTGTGATTGCCTATTAGTTGGTTGTTAGCGTGTATTAAAAGCGGACCAAAAGCAGTGCCTGCTTTCTAGCGGCAACATACTGCGTGCTCCTTGGAGTTAAAGGGACCTGGATTCAAAAAACGAAGGAAACCACCATCAGTAATGCGGAGGCCACCAATTTCCCAGTTGATCTCCGTCGGGATTAGAACCGCCATTAAATCACCAAGGATGTAAGCCCAAACAGTCAAGAAAATCAAAGAGACAAAGATGGTCTGCGGTTTGAAGTAGAAGATTTCCTGAAGGACAGAGCCGAAGATGGAAAGCCCAAGACCTATACGGGAGTAAGTAACCATCTTTCAAATAACTCACTCATAAGCAGACCAACCAAGAAAAACCACGCGAAAGGTCACCACAGTCATATTCGGGTCATCTTCGACGTGGATGACTTTAGTGACAAGGTCAGTTGCCGTTTCCACCAGCGCGGTAACTCCTTCCTCGGGCTCGTATTTCACACCCTGCTCTACATCGTTGTCTCTTGTGAAGGCACCATTCTTCCCCTCAACTCCCTTAGTCTCGGGAGTCGGCAAAACTTCCTGAGCTTCTGCCATTTTGACATCGAGCGAACTGGAAGCCATCTTGGGCCAGGAACAATAATGGCACAAGCTACACGACTATTGCAAGAACTACGAAAGCGGGCTCGCTGAGATTTATAGATAAGCTGTATAGCCATTTCCATTCGCAACGCACGTTGTCAATTTAGTAAGTGACCGAAACTAGGACCTACATATCTGTTCTAAGGTTACATCGAAATGCAGCCAATGATATGCATTGATTGTCGTGTTTATCTCTAGAACTCACATTGAACGACAGGCCTTTCTTGCTCATGCGACCACTAACTACAAGCTTAGCACTTATCTAAGGAGGGTATGTGACCTCGTGTGTTACGCACGAAACAGCGAATTATCTACGTTCCATACTGTCGTTTTCTCCATTCAGACTACCAGAAGGAGGAGTTCAACCTACTCCGTATAGAGCAGGTGGACTAATACAATAAGCAAGGTCTATATCATCCACAGTCTTTCTTCTCGTTTTAGGATAAATCTTAAATTAAATCCTTGTCTCCCATTCTCTTCAATCGGGAACCCCCTCTCTCAGGATATAGCGCTAAACTAAACTTACGTAGGGTGGTTAGATAATTATATTAAATTGTCCTATAGGCTATTACGAGCTTGAATATTAATTATTACTCTTAGCATTACGACCATACTCCACTGTACATTACTCGCGGGGGCGAACCGTAGTCTTCGAAATGTTCAGAAAGATATGATATCCAAGACTAATATATTTTAGTCAAACTTTTCAGACAGCATTCCCACTTGGGGTTTGGTGCTTTGGAGTTCTACATGTTAACACTTTGCCGCATCGCTGGGTTCGACAAAGCAGCTTTCAATCATAGTGTGTACTAGCGTTGAGTTTTGCCAAGTAAAGTTGCTCAATGCTTATATCGCTTAATGTTCGCCAAGTAGAATCTTGACTTCGGGGTACTGAATATGATTGGGGAGCAACAAAATTAATGTCGCAGCCGTAATGGAGACTTGAACCTAGTCAAGCCTCAAGCGAAGCTACTTACCTTCCTTTCTGGGATTAGTCTGTTTGGACCTATCTGTCGGATTCCTGGGTTTACTTCAGGCCAATCCTGAATCCTGAAAAGAATGGAAACAAAAAGAAGTGACTAGCAAGATTGTATGTATTGAATTGTCTGAGGTGTCCTGTCTTCCATACCATAAAAATGGCATTCTTATATGTGCTTAAGCACGGGAAATGAGTTCAATCAATTCCCTGGTACATTCTCCGTGATCAACAATATGATACTGTCGGTTTATCTACGTCTAGGTCGCTAGCACTAGTCACGTAGAACAGCTATTCCGAAGAGCTGACGAGCCTGATCAATATGGTATGGAATTCCTGATATTGATGACTGCCCCCCAAGAGTAAGGGGGGTGTGTGTGTGTGTGTATATTTAACGGCCGTGGTTCGTGACTTGCACGCTTCCCACCGATCCCTACTGGGACATAGGCCGCCGAGGGGTAAGCCTCGGGCTTCAGGTCCTATCAGATTTATATACAAATAAGAGACTCTTTGGCGCATTTCTATAGCTGCCGTGGTCTTAAAGGGAGATCCACTTCCTAGTGGGTTTTGGGTATTTGCCAGCTGCAATGGTCCACCTACGCTCCATGACCCATCATTCTACCACCATCATACTTAAGCAGTGAGTTTGAAAAGAAAAAGGGAAGAAGGAAAGAAGAAAAGAAAGAAAGAAAAAGAACAAAGGAAAAGAGAGATATAAGGGAAAAGTAGGGCTGACTTAGCTAGATGCTAAGGAGAGGTTGGCAAGGATAGATATCCTCAAAGAAACGGGTCTCTGCTAGCCATGAGGCTAGTTTTCGTGTTCCTTTCGCAGTGTCTAAAAGAAAAGAGATAACTTCAGAAGGGGGTCCAGGTGGACGAGGGGCTCATCTCTTAGCTATATGGTAGAAGAAGAAATGTAGAGGTGCTTTTCGTGTTCCACATCGATAGAGAAGATAAGCATCATCATGATTAAAGCACTTATGGTAATCCGCAAAGTCTCCATAACCAGTATGGGCCACTATGATACAGCCAAGGTCAAGTTAGTTAAGTTGAAGCTCTCTAGGGCGTTTAGGAGATGTAGTTATTTCTAGATCTTAGTATGTCTGTGGTGCTATAGTCTGCCACCGTGTCTGAGCAGCGGAAAGAGATTGAGTCTTGGTGTATCTCTTTAGCGAGGCATATGAGGACTTATATGGAGAGGGGGAGATAGAGACAGCTTTTTCCTTAGCAGCGAGATCAGCTGCTTCATTCTCAGGGATTTTAGTGTGTCCAGGGACCCATCGGATTTGGATTGATCCACTTTTGGTGTGTGGAAGCCTTTCGCGTAGTGGCCAGGCGGCTGCAAGGGTGCGAAAGGATTCAAAGACCTCTTGAGAGGATCCTGTAGAGGGAGATAGGAGGCGCGTGGCAACTTCCAGGTTGTCGAGACAGATCCATAGGTTGGTAGCAAATTGAGCTGTTGGGTATGCTATTACTGCTTGAGCACCAGCTAGGGCAGCTTCTGCTTCTGTGTCAAAGACCTCTTTCCCATGTCCATATGAGAGTGAGGAGCGGAGGAACTGATGGTGTGCTTGAATTCTAATATAGCCACCCCCTACACGTCCGTCTATCAGCCTAGATCCATCTGAAAAGATTACAATATCCAAGCTAGGGATGGTGTGTTGAAAAGCCGTGAAATCAGCTGCTGCCTATTCCTTAGTGCGTCCCATAGGAGCTCCTATTTGGGCTAGGGCACTCTTGCGTGACTCATGAGGGTACCAGGGAGCATGTTGTAGAGGGTTTATTTGTTCAGAGTTGGGGAGCGCCAGCACTTGGCAGGCAAATCAACTAGTTTGTCGGCCATCTCTGGCTATCTGTTCTGCGCGTCTTCAGAGTGGGTGGTATGGATCAAGACGCCGTAGATGAACCGATGTTTGGAGGGCTATTTAATCTAGTTCAATTTCTGGCGGAGAGAATCCAGACTCTCAGTATAGAACAGATATTGGGGTTATACAGAAAACTGGAAGGACTGCTCTTGCGCCTGCTAGTATTACTTTGGTTAGTTTCTCAAGATGTTCTCCAACTCAATTTGAAATTTAGGAAGGCCCAGGGCGAGTATGTCCTGGCCACTAGGTTTCTGCGCCATAGTATGCTTTATAGAGTACACAGGCTGATATAGCCTGCTATAGTAAATAAGGTTTGACTCCATGGATAGTATTCCCTAGAGAGCGAAGGGCATTAGCTACAGTGAGGGCTTTAGATGCTGTTTTACTAACATGCCATTTAAACGTTAGCTTTTTGTTAAAAAGGATTCCTAGCTAACATAGATATAGCTGTTTAGTATTTTCTGAGATTATGATAGATCCAGCTTTTACTGAAGGTGTGTAGGTTGGGTCCTGGTCTGCTTTATGTCGGGAGAAGTGAAGAAGCTCGTATTTATCTGGTGCAAATGTAATGCCCTCTGCAGCGCCCCAGTTTAGGGCTTCTTGTAGTGAGTCTGATAATGCTTTGCAGTTAGTAGCAAGAGATGTTGAGATTGCCAGGTTAGCTGCGTCGTCTGCGTAACCAAATCTGTTCCTTGGGTTTCCTAGACGGAATAGGGGCGCTATGTAGAGCATGAAAAGAATGCCAGATACTGGGGATCCTTGTGGAAGACCGCAGGCAATGTCTGTTGAGGGGCCAATCTCTCCATCGAGTCGGATCTGGACTGATCGCCCAGTAGCAAAGGAGGCAATCCAGAGAACAAGATTAGTGGGCCAGCCCTGCTCACGTAATCTGCGGATGAGTCTGCCGGGAAGCACGGCATCAAAAGCGCCCTTGACATCTAGGGTAAGGAGTGAGGCAATCATGCCTTGATTTAGTGCTTGTTCAACATCATGTGTTAGGCATATGGTTAGATCATTTGCAGATCTTAGTGGGAGAGCCCCAAACTGTTGCCTTACTAATACTTTGTGGTGTATAGAGATCTATGCCATATTCCGTGCCACCAAGTGCTCAAGTCCTTTGCCAAGAACTGATAGGAGAGCGATCGGTCTGTATAATCTAGGTGAAGACTAATCAGTCTTTTTTGGTTTCTAGATAATTGCTAAGATTGCATGTTGAAAGCATTTTAGGTGATAACCAATCTTTAGGCACCCTTGATATAACATTAGTACCTTGTCCTTAATCAGAGGCCATGCCACTTTGAGTATGCAGGTTGGGATTTCGTCTGAGCTAGGGGCTGTGTTTCCTGCCTGAAGTACTGACTCCTCCACCTGTGCCATTGTTATATCTGGGAAGTAGAGACTAGTGGTAGGGACTGCTGGGGAGTCCAGAGGTATGTCTCCTGCCTCAGCCGAGTTTTGGAGAAGATTACGGACTAGTACGTCTTGTTTCTCATGTATAGTAACTGCTGGGAAGCTGTTGGGTCTCAGTGGATCCTTCAGTGGAGGGCTTCGGAAGGTGCCTGTAGACTTATGCCATTTACTCATATCGAAGACATCCTTCATTTGTGTTGCCGTAGAGAGCTTATCTCGCCAAAATTGTCGTTGAGACCATCTAGTTATCCTGCGGAAGTCTGTCTTTGAGCAGAGGCCTAAGCGGTAATTGTGTAAAGCTTTCTTGTAGTCTTTATTCCATCATAGTTATCCTATGCCTTGTATCATGGTCCTCTTAGCAGAGCCTCTATATGCTCCTTGAATTGCAGATGTCAGTTTTTCAGCAAGGGCATCAAGATCTTCTTCTGTTGCGGCTGAGCTCTCGGTGCCAGCGAGATTAGAGGCGAGGAGCGAGAGGAAGGAGGTGTGGTCTAGTGTGTCAAATCTCAGTTTCTGGGCTGTTTCCTTGTATCTCTGATCCCATGGAACAGTGGTGATTAGTGGTTGATGATCTGAGGTTGCATCTAAGTGGCTCGCTATGCTAGCTTTGGCTCCTGCGAGTGCCAGAGGGCTTGAGGCGAAACTGAGGTCTAACACGTTACCCCTTTCATGTGTGGGACAGTCTATGTCGGAAATGAGTACTAGACCCTGGAGATCCAGCCAGTTGATAAACGGCTCTGCAAAAGTTGTAGGGCTGCGTTGTAGCGAGGGTTGCCATCTGTTGTGTAGTAGGTTGAGATCGCCTGCAAGTATAGTTGTTTGAGGGAAATACGCCTCTGGCAGGGTTGTGAGAGTTTTCGCAGCTTCACCTGCTCTGCTGCAGCCTGCTGGGGCATTATAGATGTTAACTATCAGAGCGGACTTTCCTGTGGGCGAAAAAATCTGAAGGAATAGGAGATCCGAGGCTTCTTTAGTGTCAGTTGTAAAGGGGCGTAGCTGGGAGGTCCAGATGCCTTTCTTCTTTCAGATATAGGTGAGGACTCGTGGTCGGCCACTTATTGCCTAGCTATCAGTTGGGGAGAAGCATTCATATGATGGATGTTTTTTAGTGATCTGTCGGCTGAGGTCTTTGAATGTATATAGTTCTTAGATTAGGATAATATTGATGTTGCTAGTGTATGCCAATGTGAGGGCTATTTCATGTACGTCTGGCGCGTGCCCTATATTTAACTGTAGGATTTTAAGAGGCGCCTTTTGAGTTAGATAGTAATAGATTATAGCTCCTGTTCAAGAAGAGAGGCGAACCAGTTTTATGGTTAAGGGGTTATAAAATGGACTGCACGAGCTGTAATGGGAGGATCTTTAGTTGGGATGCGAGGTGGGGGGGTTACTGAACGGAAAGGAGAGATAATCTTATGGATTGAAGGCTGTGATAGCATCTCATCTAATACCATAGGTGTTTCTTGTATGCCTATAGAGAGCTGAGAGCTACATCCTTCTTCAGTTCGAGCTTTTGCAAGGTTTATAGCGCAGGATTTGCGGATCTCTGTTTGTTAAGCTTTAGTATGTTTAGTATTGCCTTTGGGGCGTAGAAGGCATTCTGTGAAATCAGCTGGATGTGGTCCATGGCAGTGTATACATCTAGGAGGGCATTGATGAGGCTCTGGGGCTGTGCAGCGGTTGACATAGCTCTCTTCAGTATGCTCTGAGGAGCCGCATAGTCGGCATCGAGAGAGGCGTGCACAGGATCGTGTATTATGCCATTTCCAGCATTGTATGCATTAAATAACTATTGTTTTCTTAGAGAGGTGATGAGTATTAGTGATAGTGCCAAAAAGACATAGCTGGATAGGCAGTGGTAATTTTGTGCCTTCTAGGAAGTTGACAAACCAGCTTGAGGAGAGAGTATCAGGGTTGGCAGCGCTCGTAGTGGTCTCGCTAATAGATATAGGCTTGAGCCCTGTTGTTTCGCTAATTTCTAATGATAGTAGTGTAGGATTGACAGGGATTAGAGAGTATTGACCATCCAAGATTTGGCCAATTTTCCTTGGCACGTTGGTGACTCAGTACGAGACCCATTGGGAGCTGCGTTCTATCTGGCAGTTAACAAAGAATGCAGAGATAGTCTCTTTTTAGGCCTCAAGGGCTAGGAGGGCTTCTGGAGATGAGGGACATAGTGCAAAGCCAGTCTTTGTAGCTTGGACTTCTTTTAGTGCTGCACTATTTAAGTTTAGTTGAGATTGTAGGCTAGAGTAGATAGCGTAGGCTTCCATTTTTCTGGCTGCGTGGTCAGCTGGGAGGCATACGAAGAGCCGGATGTCAGGAAGGGGTTGTTTCACCAGAGGCATAGGCTTTTTGATGGAGGCTTTAGGGTGAGTGGTGGGAGTTGATTTGACTGGGGCATATTGGGTAATAGTCGCATAAGTTGACTGGTTAAGACCTGAGGGGGGACGTGAGGGAGGGGGTGAAGAGGGTAAGGGATTTAGAGTGGGGGAAGAGGAAGGGGAAGGAGACAGGGCAGGTAGAATGGAGGTCGTCGAGATACCGCTGATATAAGCGTTGAAATGTTGTTGAGCTACCGAGGCGAGGTCATCGCTTAGAGCGGTGAGGGCTCTCAGTAGGTGAGGAGCAAGGCCGGTGGTTTGGCTGCGGTGTTTATCAAGGAATACAGCTATGGGGCTGAAGATCTTCTGTCCTTCAGAAGCTCTTGTTGTGGCTGCAGACGTGGATTCCAGAAGGGCTGTCTGTAGAGGGCCGTCTGTACCAGGGCCTTTACGCGCCATGGTGTTGCCGGGCGCGTTGAGACGCGTCAAAGGCTGCACTCCTGGGAGCTAGGTGGTAGAGAGGGTTGAGGATTTTGAGCCTCCGACTGTTTGATATTGTAAAGAATCTGACCGTAAGGTCACGTGACACTAGTCGTTCCGAGACTAGCTATAGCTTCAACCCCTGAGTTGTAGGTAACTAGAAGATAGACAAGCAATACACAGAGATTCAACGCATCGAATCATCTCCTTATTAATACTGACAAGCAACTGATCATTGATCACTATTACTGAACGATATCAATCCTCTGAGTCTATACGATCCATCCACCGATTTCTTTACATGGTAGCATGTCCTTGGGGCTAAGCTGCAGGATAGCATAACAGCGTTCGTGGAAGCGAGTCTTGCACCTTAGGGCGAACCACCCGGAATCACCGCTGGGTGTAAGCAGGTAATAGTATCGTGATTAGTCTGTTGTATCCTCGATCCTCTTAGTAAAGATAGGCCGGCCAACCTATTGTTACGACGAATTCGGGCATACGACCGCGCTTCGAAAGTTTGGAAGGAAGAAGTGTTACAGCTCAAGGCTAGTTGATGTCTCGGAGACAGCGAGACGAGAGAGGACGGTTTATTTCCACGACTCCTGAGCCAGAGGGTAGAATTCCTGGTTCATTCGAACAAGGCAACGAGACAGCCTTAGGTCAACGTGACGAAGCCACCGAGAATGAGATCGTCGAACGAGAAAGAGACAACACCGTACACAGCGGTTAGCAGAATACTGTGGTTAGAGTCGAGGTACCCATACGAGAGTTTACACCGGACCGACAACTTGTGGACGAGTTAGCGAGAATGCCAGACGACGAAACGATTCCTACGTTTGAGGAGGTCAATGGGAGAAAGTTTATGACATTCGAGATAGCAAAACTCGATCGGACAAACGTTCGAAGTTGGAAAAACAAGTATGAGTTATTCCTAAAGTCACAAGGGTGCTGGAAAGTGTTGGATTATACATATAAGTGGAGGAAGCAATCTGAGAAGATAGATGAGCTTCTTAAAGACGATAAATGGAGTGCAGCAGACTCCTTGTCGAAATTGTACATCCTACAGAACCTTACCGAAAGTGATGAATCCGCGGTCAACATATGAGTCATCAGAGAGATATGGGCGTACCTTATGGAGAAATATGAAAGCGCACGGAAGTAGACGTTGCGTATGCGATTCGCGATGTAATAACATGGAAAATGAGCTCTACAACGACAGTAGAGGCAGGACTACAGCAGTTGGAACAGAGGCATACAGAGCTAGTTGACGTGAGTGGCGGAGAAGTGAAATTGCCAGAGAAGACGATTATGGTTATTTTTCTGGAAGGATTACCGTCAGAGTACGATTCTATGAAGTTCTCAATACTGGGAGCTGGGGACCTATCGAGAGGGCTTGTACTATCACGATTACAACAGCAAGAGCGCATGCAAGGTGGCAGTACCAATAAGACCATCGGAGCCAATGAATCGGCCAACCGCGCATCTGATATTAAGTGCTTCAACTGTAACGAGATGGGTCATTTTGCGAGGAATTGTCCAAAACCAGACAAACGAAAGAAGTCGAAAGAAGAGTCTAGAGATGACTCTCAAGAGAGCTCAAAGACGCGAAGCTCTAGAAAGAAAGCACACGAGAAGAGAAGTAAGAAAGTTAGGTTTAAGGGAAAGGCTAGGAATGCTTCTAAAGAATCTGATACTGAGGATGAGAGTGTCAGCGAGGAAAGCAGCGAAGAAAGTGCATATAAGGTGTGGATTGGAGTTCATTATGCAGATCGAGCTACAAGCATAGACCCAGACCAAAGTGAGCAAAAGGTCAAGAAGTGGACTATTGATGGAGGTGCAACGAGTCACTGCACCGGCGATATTCAATGCCTAGAAAAACTTGACACAAGATACAGAGGCGTCCTAAAGACTGCAGGAGGAAACCTTAAGATTATGGGAAAAGGGATTGCTAGAGTTCCTCTTATGGATGGAGGAGTGGCAAGGTTGAATAATGTTTTATATGTGCCAGACATGGAAGAAAACCTTCTCTCGACACAAGTGTTGTATCGAGATGGAATCTACAATGCTCATGAGAAGGATGGATATCGATTCTACAGAAAGGATCGAAAGACTCTGGCTACAGGCTACAATATCGGTCGAACGAGTTATCTAGGCTCAGTGGAGTCCCAGGATACACTCATGACAAGATCAAGGCGAATGAATAAGGATGAAGAGGCTCGAATAGTGTCCAGAGAACCAGATTGGGATCTGCTTCATAAGCGATTTGGACACCCAGGGAAGCCAAGGATGAAACGATTAGTGAAGCGAATGGGTTTGAAGCTTCCAGAATCGTATGATTTCACATGTGAGACGTGTATTCAGGCGAAGAGTGTGAAGCGCCAGAATCGAGGAGAGGTTCCAAAGGAGAAGGAACCGTTGAAACGAGTTTATATTGATTTTTGGGGACCGTATCAAGGCCAGTACTATTTGGCAATAGTTGATGATGCGACTAGGTTCTCATGGCTTTACATCACGGACAATCGACGTACTGAGACCGTGATTGAGATCTTGGAGAAGTGGATGGCTAAAGAAGAACGTATTCTAGGGAAGGCCTTGATCAATATTAGATTGGATAATGCGAAGGAGTTTGCCGCATTAGGATCATGGGCTGAGAAGAAGGGAATCGACCTGGAGTTTACAGAGCCATATACACCACCACAGAATGGACCAGCAGAGCGTCTGAATCGTTTCATACTTGAGATCGCGAGAGCGATGATGCAGCAGATGAATGTTCCGAAGAAGTATTGGCGATATGCAGTTAGGATGGCCAACTTTCTTCGAAACCGAACCATGTTTTCACCAAGGGAAGGGGAGAAACGGAAGTCTGCATATGAGATGATTTATAAGAAGAAGTATAACCTTGCAAAGCTCAAAGTTCCTTTTTGCAAAGTCTGGTTTCACATTGAGACAAAGGATAAGCTTGATCCGAGGGCTCAAGAAGGTGTTTTTGTGGGTTATACCAAGAGCAGCAGTCAATATCTCGTACTTGATAGACAAGGGCGAGTACGGAAGGTCACCAATCCAATCTTTTTGGAGGATCAACGAGGCTTCATTTCTGATGAAGCAGGTGATCGAGAGTTTACGAATGATGAGGCATATAACAGCCTCATTGAGAATCCTAGTGTGTTTAACCACACTGTCAATCCAGTTATCAATTCTGCATCAACTACCGCTATGAGTCCTACCGTGCTCAACCACAAGGATGATGTTGATGCAACTACCGCAGTCGACGAGTCACATAGTCAAGAATCCACTACGTCGACTACACCGGATCTAGCTGATCCAAACCCGTCCACTACACCTTCATTACCAAAGACATCTCAGCAAGATGCTTCACCAAAGCGACGATCTGAGCGTATACGACAACCAACCCAGGCGTTAATTGAATCACAGCAAACAGAGCAAATATACGGCCGGAAAAGTCGTCAAGAAAGACGTCGGGAAGAAAGGGAAGCGAGTAAAGTATCAACAACGGATAGTTCTTCCCAAGTCTCTCATGAGGAGACACGTCTACGAGAAACAGCCAATTTGGCAGTTGCAATAGAACTCCTACTAGGCGAAGACGACGAGTTTGCTTTACGAGTTGACAAGCGGCTTGAAGGGGAGCAAATTCCTATACCCAAGACTTATGAGGAAGCTGTCAATCATCCAATTTATGGACCTAGATGGCGTGAAGCCATTGGTCTTGAGATTCGAAATCTGATACGCTTCGGCACATGGAAATTTGTTAAACGACCAATCGGACGATCAGTCATATCATGTAAATGGGTCTTCGATCTGAAATATGGCGCAGATGGGCGTCTAGAACGATTCAAAGCACGACTAGTTGCCAGAGGATTCTCTCAACAGGAAGGTTTAGACTTTGAAGACACATTTGCACCAGTAATCCGACTGGAAAGCCTCCGTGTGCTGTTCGCTATTGCAGCTTCATACGGGATGGTTGCTCATCTACTTGACGCTACAAACGCCTTCGTAGGCTCAAGAATCGACAAGGAAATGTTCATGGAAATTCCCCAGGGCTTAGAGGACCATGGTGTCGGACCAACTGAACCAGATCAGGTCTGTGAGATCTTACAATCGCTGTATGGCTTACGGCAATCTGCCAACCTCTGGAATCAGAAAGTCAAGTCATTCGTTAACACTATTGGTTTTAAGCCTTCAACAGCTGATTCAAGTGTCTTTATCAATGAACGAGGAGTCATCATTGCGCTATACGTGGATGATATCTTAGTGTTCGGTAAAGCAACTAAGGACATTGACTGGACAAAGAGGAAACTCAAGAAATTTCATCCAATGAAGGATCCTGGACTTGCAAAGAAGATATTAGGAATCCGAATCACCTGGCTTCCAAATGGAGGTATACGACTGGATCAAGAATTCTATGCTACTCAGATGCTTAAAGAATTTGGCATGAATCATTCGAAGGATCGTATCCTACCTCTCGGACCTAGTACGAACCTTTCAGCAGATTCTCAACGCCTTCCAAAAGATCTGCACTCAAAGTTCCGAAGAATCATTGGACGACTAACATATTTAGCTGGTGGAACGCGGCCAGATATCCAGTTTCCTGTCAATCGTCTCAGCCAACACCTCGCCGAACCCACAAAAGTCCATTTAGAAGCGGTCAAGCGAATACTCCGATATGTCCGCGGTACAATCAAATATGCTATCATCTACCGAGCGTAGATGAAAGGGAGGGTAAGATATTAGTCGGTATACGGATGCGTCATATGCCAATGCTACAAAGGGACGTTCAACTAGTGGGTATATTTTTATACTGGCTGGTGGCCCTGTAAGTTGGTCAAGCCGAAAGCAACCAATTACTGCGACTTCGTCGTCAGAAGCTGAGTATATTGCTGCGTCAGACGGAGCCAAGCAGGCAGTATGGCTTAGACATTTCTTGCATTCAATTCAGAAAGGATCTAAGGGACCGACTCCATTCTATATGGATAATCAGTCCGCAATGAAGCTATCCGACAATCCAGTGCTGCATTCTCGAAGCAAGCACATCCTGATTCGATATCATGCTATACGTGACTTCGTAAACCACCGGGAGATAAAGCCAATATATATCCCTACCACCGACATGCTTGCGGACAGCCTAACTAAGGCATCTTCATCAGAGATACTTGGAAAATTTACTGAATCCCTGAACATGAAATGGTGATATGGTTATGGAACAGGTTAGTGGGAATATAGATCTCCGGGTCGCAACACCAAGATCTACAGATTGTGAATTGAGCGTTCAACACCCTCCGAGTTATATTGTTTTTGATTTTCATGTTTTCCTTTGGATTTGAAATGGTTGACTCTGCGGATATTGAACGAAGGGGAGTGTAAAGAATCTGACCGTAAGGTCACGTGACACTAGTCGTTCCGAGACTAGCTATAGCTTCAACCCCTGAGTTGTAGGTAACTAGAAGATAGACAAGCAATACACAGAGATTCAACGCATCGAATCATCTCCTTATTAATACTGACAAGCAACTGATCATTGATCACTATTACTGAACGATATCAATCCTCTGAGTCTATACGATCCATCCACCGATTTCTTTACAGATATAAATAATTATAAGGAAGTCGCCTATCAACTCGTGTCAAAAGAGATGCTGTTGTTGAGTTTACCGGCGCTTGCTATTGTCTAATAAAAAAAGCCAATGAGACGTCACATGATATGCAACTGATTCGTCTTACCCCGCCTACTCCGCCCACACAAGTCTCTCGGCCCCCCCTTCTAAACATGACTCTGGCATCATCCTCCAACTCATCGTAGCACGACAATCTATGACCATGACCATGGCATCTTCGGTATCATTTCATGGCAGTAACGATGGAATGCAGATCGGGAATAATTACGGCACGGTTAATGCTTCCTTCACAGGTAGATATGATTAAAAGGTCTTAGGAAATTGGGGAATGTTATTGACAAGTGCAGATCCCCTGGACAAGCTGCCAATTGCGGAGGGAGCCGAGTTCGACTCGTACGCAGATCAGCATGAAGATTTTTGTCTTCCCGGCACTAGGAGCGAGCTTCTATCCCAAATTTTCGAGTGGGCCGAGTCATCGGACGGGAAATGCATATTCTGGTTGAATGGAATGGCGGGGACAGGAAAGTCTACCATTGCTCGAACCGTTGCAGGATCTTTTAAAAAAAGAGGCCAGCTTGGCGCAACTTTCTTTTTCAAGCGGGGCGAAGCTGACCGTAGTAACGCAAAATATTTGATCTCGACTATCACAAAGCAGTTGGTCACTAAACACCAACCACTGGTACCTGCTGTCTTGAAAGCGATCGAGAAGAATCCCAATATCTCATCAAAATCGCTCAGCCAACAATTCGATACGCTTCTTCTCCAGCCGCTGCTCGGGTTAAAGGTGGACCAACCTGCAACAGTAATGCTTATTATTGATGCACTAGATGAATGTGATCGGGAAAATGATCTCCGGACCATACTTAAACTTTTGTTTCGACTGCAGGAAGTGAAGTCAGTATGCCTGCGAATATTTCTGACTAGCCGGCCTGAACTTCCAATCCGTCTTGGTTTTAGGCAGAGTAATAACCATCAGGATTTAGTCCTCCATGAGCTTCCCAAGCCAGTGATTGAACATGACATTCGCCTATACCTGGAAGACAAGTTTTCAACTATACGGAAAGAGAGGTCGTTCGCCTCCAACTGGCCCGGGGATGAGGTTATCAATGAGTTGGTGCGGATGTCTACCCCACTATTCATCTTCGCGGCCACGGCATATCGCTTTGTCAATGGAGGCAGGCATCCAAAAAGGCAACTCCAGAAGTTCCTTGCATCTCAAGCAGCTACATCCGCATCTCAGATGGACAAAATATACCTACCAGTTTTGAACCAACTTATACACAGTGACGAGGACGACCCAACAGAGGTTTTAAAAGAATTTCAGGATATAATCGGGACTATTATCCTTCTTGCTACTCCATTATCTATCATTTCCTTGGCAAGGCTTCTTCATCTCTCAGCAGAGGATATCATCGAGCTTTTGGATCCATTGCACTCAGTTTTGCATATACCAACGAATTCAGGCGCACCGGTCCGAATCCTACATTTATCATTCCGTGACTTCCTCATTAACGCCACAAGCATCTTCCATGTGGATGAAAAAGAGACGCACCAGAAGATAGTCTTGCATTGCCTCAGTATTATGGACACTGGCTTGAAGCAAAATATCTGTGGTCTGTCAAGCTACGGGACACAGAGAACAAATATCGATAATGAAGTTATTAACAAGCACCTCTCAGCAGATCTACAGTACTCCTGTCGGTATTGGGTATATCATTTTGAACATAGCCACAGTCATATCACTATGCCTAGTGCTTTTGATTTTATGAAAAAGCACCTCCTTCATTGGTTAGAGGCGCTGAGCTTAATGGATATTATATCAGAGGCGGTAGCAATGATGGATATACTCCAGTCAGGCGCTGGGGTAAGTTTCTCCGCTTTTATGCTCGAGTGATAGCTAAAACCAAGTGTACAGGATGACGTGGATACAGAATTTTCCAACTTTCTCTATGATGCAAAACGATTCATTCTAAAGAACACCTACATAGCAAGTCTTGCTCCACTCCAACTGTACTGTTCCGGGTTGGTATTTTTACCAATGCAAAGTACCATTAGAAAGATATTTCTTGACAGCAGGCCCAAACAAATACACATGCTACCACAGGTGGAGGATAATTGGAGCCCAGGACTACAAACCCTTGAGGGCCATTCAGGTTTGGTTCATTCAGTGGCCTTCTCCCATGACGGCCAAATGGTGGTGTCAGGCTCCTACGACAACACCATCAAGCTCTGGGATGCAAAGACTGGCTCTGAACTGCAGACGCTCAAGGGCCATTCAAGTTGGGTTTATTCAGTAGCCTTCTCCCATGACAGCCAAATGGTGGTGTCAGGCTCCGATGACAACACCATTAAGCTCTGGGATGCTAAGACTGGCTCTGAACTACAGACACTCAAGGATCATTCAGATTCAGTCCATTCAGTAGCCTTCTCCCATAACGACCAAATGGTGGTGTCAGGCTCCGATGATAAAACTATCAAGCTCTGGAATACAAAGACTGGCTCTGAACTACAGACGCTCAGGGGCCATTATGGCCACATTTATTCAGTAGCCTTCTCCCATAACGACCAAATAGTGGTGTCAGGCTCTGATGACTATACTATTAAGCTCTGGGATATAAAGACTGGCTCTGAACTGCAGACGCTCGAGGGCTATTTACGCTATATTTATTCAGTGGCCTTCTCCCATGACGATCAAATGGTGGTATCAGGCTCTTATGACAACACAATTAAGCTCTGGGATGCCAAGACTGGCTCTCTACTACAGACGCTTAAGGGCCACTCAAGCCATGTTTATTCAGTAGCCTTCTCTCATGACAGCCAAATGGTGGTGTCAGGCTCTGATGACAAGACTATTAAGCTCTGGGATACGAAGACTGGCTCTGAACTGCAGACGCTCAAGGGCCATTCAAATGGGGTTTATTCAGTAGCCTTCTCCTATGACGACCAAATGGTGGCGTCAGGCTCTCGTGACAACACCATCAAGCTCTGGAATGCTAAGACTAGCTCTGAATTGCAGATATTCAAGGGTCATTCAGACTCAATCCGTTCAGTGGCCTTCTCCCATGACGGCCAAATGGTGGTGTCAGGCTCTCGTGACAACACCATCAAGCTCTGGGATGCAAAGACTGGCTCTGAACTACAGACACTCAAGGGCCATTCACACATGGGGGTTAATTCAGTAGCCTTCTCTCATGATGGCCAAATGGTGGCATCAGGCTCTAGTGACGAGACTATTAAGCTCTGGGATGCTAAGACCGGCTCTGAACTACACACACTCAAGGGCCATTCACACTGGGTTAATTCAGTGGCCTTCTCCCATGATGGCCAAATGGTGGCATCAGGCTCTGATGACCACACTATTAAGCTCTGGGATGTAAAGACTGGCTCTGAATTGCAGACACTTAAGGGCCATTCAGGCCGGGTTAAGCCAGTAGCCTTCTCCTATGACAGTCAAATGGTGGTGTCAGGCTCTGATGACTACACTGTTAAGCTCTGGGATACGAAGACTGGCTCTGAATTGCAGACGCTGGAAGGCCATTCAAGTTGGGTTTATTCAGTAGCCTTCTCCCATGACGGCCAAATGGTGGTGTCAGGCTCTGGCGGGACCATTAAGCTCTGGGATGCAAAGACTGGCTCTGAACTGCGGACGCTCAAGGGCCATTCAGGCGATATTTATTCAGTAGTCTTCTCCTATGACGGCCAAATGGTGATATCATGCTCCGATGACAACACCATCAAGCTCTGGGATGTTAAGACTGGCTCTGAATTACAAACGCTCAAGAGCCATCCAGATTCGGTTAATTCAGTGGCTCCTTACAACTCAGTGGTCTCTGCTCTGCATGCAGAAGAACTTACTTCTACTAAACCTACTAGCATTTCACAGCGCTGTGATGGCTGTCGCCCGACTTCACATAATTTCAATCTTCAAGCATCTTTATCAGACAGCTGGGTTGCCTTGGCGGGTGAAAATATACTGTGGCTCCCTATCGAGCATCGTCGATTTACAGCTTCAGCAGTTAAGGAAGCCACACTTGCTCTTGGGTATGATGACGGGCGGGTTTCTATTATAGGATTTCATACTGGAAAAGGCATCTAAACTCCCGGCAAGCCGAACAAGTTTTCCAAAACGGAAAAGAAACCTATGATTTGGATTTGAGTGTCACTGTGTTGAGTTTGTTGTATTCTTTTGGTCTGATCAATTTGTTAGCCTTGCTTAATTAGTTGAATACATATGAGCTGTTTCTAAGTTAGTGCTTTGGATAATTACCTACGTCATAAGCGATGAGTCACACAACCAAATAACGAGGGTTGAACGGACCCACTTACAGGTCAACGTTTTTCACTTCCTGTTCCTAACACAACCCACGATTTTTTGCTACCCATGGTTTTTTGTGGCCATGGCTTGCCTTTGATATTCGATTGAGTGTTGATGTATTTACTGACAGCGACCCCACGGTTCTACAATCTCAGTCAACGTTTTTCATTTCCTGTTCCCACCACAACCCATGATTTTTCCTACCCATGATTTCCCAAGCCATTTCATTGACTTGACCAGCCGTACTGTTGGACCACCTCTCTTATTGATAATATAACGCTACAAGCTACCCATGGTATCCATGGCCATGGCTGCTAGCCCTTTGATACTCCACTGAGCATTGATGTATTTACTGACAGCGAACCCACGGTTTTGCTGGTGAAATTCGTGGTTTCTCAATGAGTTGCAAGCCCCTATACTCTGGTATCCCTCATGGGCGCCAGACCTTTCATTTGGCACGGTGGCGACTATCATTCCCCTGCGGAATAACAGTCCGCGTGGGACACCATGAGTTTACCATCGATATTGTCCCCTGCGGGGTTCAAGCCCCTATGAGGTGGCTATACCATAGCAGCCCCCGCGGGTTTTTACCGCACAGGGGATGGTAAATCCTATGGGTTGCCACGGTTGCTTTATCGCTCGCGGGTTGCTACCCCCCGCGGGTTTCAAGCCCCTATGAAGTGGCCAAACCATGGCAGCCCCTGCGGGCTTCCACCGCACAGGGGGTGGTAAATCCTATGGGTTGCCACGGTTGTGTTATCGCTCGCGGGTTGCTACCCCCTGTGGGCTTCCACCGCATAGGGGGTGGTGAATCCTATGGGTTGCCACGATTATTTTATCGCTCACGGGTTGCTCCCCCCCGCGGGCTTCAAGCCCCTATGAGGTGGCCAAACTATGGCAGCCCCTGCGGGCTTCTACCGCACAGGGGTTGTTAAATCCTATGGGTTGCCACGGTTGTTTTATCGCTCGCGGGTTGCTTCCCCCCGTGGGCTCCCTGCTGGACACTGGTATTGCCACGATCTACTCGCCCTATACGGGCTCCCCGCTGCGTAACGGCATACCACGATCCACTCGTTGTGCTGTCGTCCCGCACGGGTTGCCTTGTCGCTTACCACTGTTGAAGTAGGATGTGAATGAAGGCGATGATACTGCTGTTGTTAGTTAGGTAAAAGTGAGTCAACCCTCATATATATATATATACATATGCGTTGAGCCCCACATCCATGTCATGTCATTTCAAACTGACTAGCACAACTGGGATCTAGATATTGCTTGCCAGATCTGCTAGAAGTTGGTTTCACCATTCTTTAATGATCTATTTGAATGATACCATGCTGTAAAGCTTTGGGAGTACTATTAATCCAGAGCTTTATCTAACGTACCTGTCTTATGGTTGAAACAAGTCAATATTCAAGTATCATATCTTGGGTTCCGGCATAGACTCTGCTCTCCCACATCATTTCCACCCACACCGTTATATCTTCTGGGCTCATGGCCGCCACATCTTCTTCATCTAGCCAGTCACCGAATACATCTAGGGGATCAAAATCGTCGTATGACGTGAGAACGAATGAGTCTCCTTTGCGATATGCGAAATTGAAATCTTCTTTCACAAAGCAATACACCGGTCGTTTCCCATTTCCGCTCCGATCTGTGGACCAAAAGCCAACGATCACGGCATCATCGATGAATATAGGAGCTGAATGCAGGCTATAGTCTGAATGATCCGAATCGAAAACAAGATCTGGTTCCTGGTAACTTTCTGGCTCTATGGAGGGGAGTGGTGTGTCTGGATCGATGTATCGTATCTTTTTGGCGGATTGATGATCCGAACAACTTGGTTTCAGCTCCTGTTTGCGCTTCAGGGATGTGCGGCGACACGGCTCCGAACTAGGGTGTGGAGTTGACGATGGATGGGATTCCATGTTTTCTGAAATACCACAGCACTTGCAGCAGCACTTCTTGATAGATTTGGTGGATAGTTCCCGAACTTCTCGTGGTGAATTTCGGTACGATAGCTCTGATGCCACTGGGTTTCGATGATGGGGGATGGGAAAGAAAGCAGACCAAGAGTGAGAGTGCGGACGGATGCCTTCATATACTCAGACCACCAACTAGTCTGACATCCTAGGAGGTCGAAAACCAAACCCTGTCTGCGATACTACCACCAATCATGACTAGACTCAGGCACACGGCGAGGCAGACCGGATGGAAGTGGCTTGCTAGCAGGCTCTCTCAGTACACTTGAGCATGGGGGCTGCTCGTTCAAGAATTCGAGGACCACTTGGAAGCAAATTCTGCCTATCCAAGGCACATACAGGACTGTACATGCCCAATCATTGATGCCGGAATCAGCCACAATGGTATCCAAAAAGAAGTCGGGCTGCTCCTGGACGAATCCTGCATGAAGTGAGCTTTCCAGCAGTGTCCTCTCGAAGAAACTCCACCTTAGAGTCTTCCTCTCGTCCGATAAAACTCTCTATTAGATATAAACAGTATGATGAATTGACCCTAGCGCCTGAGATGATGTTTGTCCAACTGTCCTTCAATCACCGTGAATATTTTCCGCTTCACGATAGCTAGTGCCGACTGCGAAACGAAGAGTTGGTGCTGCTGGCAGCGCTACGCATGACACACCCCCATGCTCGTTGGGACAAGCGGAAGCTCTACTGGTCAATGGCAAATGCTCTATTTTAGGGTCATACTACGCCGTGATTCAGCATGGTTGGTGGTCGCCTTTCACACCTGATTGGACTTACGAGGCTAGGTTTTGCATAATAGGCTGGTCATCTCCACTCCACTTTCATGCACCGGAGTGCCGTGAATTATGAGAGTCGGATCGCTCAGCCCCTGAAAGGGATCAAACAGGTATAAAGAGTGCCGACTTCCCACCGTAAGGTCACTCTGTCATCCTGAAATTCTGTCACCAACACCTAACACGTCTATCGAAATGGAGACACAGCAACCACCTACACCAGCCCAGATTGATAACTGGCATGCCCTAGGTTTCATATATGAAGTAGAAGGGATCGTGACAGAAGCTCCCACCGATATATTACTCGAATCTCCTGCATCCCCTCCATCCACCATTCCCTTCGATGAGGATTCACCTCCGTGGCAGTTACCTAGCGAACGAGTGCCGCCGGGTGAAGAGGTGGGCGAAGCAGCGGGTTCCTCTTCACCAGTCATCGAAATCAGTGACGGTGAGGAGAATCATCATACACGCCCACGACGTCGACGTAGGGGTCGCCCTGATTATGCTTATCGAGATTACCAAGATACAATGGAGCATGCAATTTCGGCACCGACCGTCGGCAAACGGAAAAGAGAAGATTCCAATGTGGTAGATTTTCAATCTAGAATTGTAAGTAGTTCCTGGCTCTTTTTTTAGACCTGGCTAACAATCAATAGAAGCGATTTGTGAAGGAGGTCACGGAACCATATGCGGCCTTGGAACAGGAGAACAAACGATTGAACCAAGAGAGTTACCAATTGAAGAAGGGCAAGGAACAGTTGCAGCTTCAGATCCAATACCTACGGCGATAGATTGATGAACAGAAGCGGCGCAATATTTTGAAGTATGCTCTATGTCATCGAACGTTCAACGAAAGCTGGAAATTTCTAGGATGTGGCCACACTCTATGTCAGACTTGTCTGGAGGATATCGAGTCCAAGGGTTTGGGGTTCGGATATCCTTGCCCTTATCCTGAGTGCAAGAAGCCGATTCGATTTTGTTTAGACTTTTATCCAAATGTCGTGGAAGCATAGTTCTAACCAAAGACTGCTGAGATGATAGCACTGCTTACTTTTGCTGTATACGATTCAACCTGTGAAGTTTTCTATGCCTGTTTTGTCCAGCGCCACCGCTTGTCAATATGTGGTTGTCCGCTCACCGAGCAACTGACTTAATGAATCACTGAAGGCTGTTCTGAAAGTAATACAACTTTTTTTTAGTTCTTTTGGAATTAGTAGGGACTGACAGAAGTCGCATGCTTAGTCCCACTTGTGACAGAGCCACCTCCGTCCCGGCTCCGTACCAGGTCAAAGGTGAAGCCATTCCCGTCGTAGGGCTGCAGCCCTACGGGTTGCCAGATAGGGAACCGCCAGAGCGGTACTGTATTTAGCAAGGTGCCACGCACAGAGATTATATAGATCTCTGTGGCTGGATCGAGAGCTTGTTTCCTTCCTTTCTTTTTCTCTCCATGTCAAATATTCTCGTGTACGTGTACCTCATTGTATGTAGCTCAGCTCAGCAATACAGTAAGATTGACCCTTTCACAGTTGCTAGTTGGTAGTTGAGCAAGTTGACAGTTGGCGGTTAAGTAAATTACTAGATGGTGGTTGAGCCAGTTATGAGGTAGTGGTTAAGACAGTCGACAGTTGGTGGTTCACCAAGTTGCTAGATGGCGGTTGAGCCGTTTGACAGTTAACAGTTGACGGCCCAGCAAGTAAGCTAGCTGACAGTTGGCGATTCGACAATTTGACAGTTGGTGGTTGAGCCAGTTGACAGTTGACGGTTGAGAAAGTTGCCAGTTGTCGGCAGAGCCAGTTGATAGTTGGCGGTTCACCAAGTTGCCAGATGGCGGTTGAGCCGTTTGACAGTTGACAGTTGACGATTGAGCAAGTTGACAGTTGGTGGTTGGGCAAGTTCACAGTTGGTTGAGCCAGCTGACAGTTGGTGGTTTAACCATTTGATAGTTGGTTGAGCAGGTTGATAGTTGGTGGTCGAGAAAGTCAATAATTTCGGGTTAGTCAGTTAATAGTTGGTGGCTGAGAAAGTCGACAGTTGACAGTTGACGATTGAGCAGGTTGACAGTTGGTGATTGAGCCAGTTAATAGTTGGCGGTTTAGCAAGTTGGTAGTCAGTTCGCAGTTGGTAGTGGCCAGGTAAGCAAGTTGACAGTTGGTGGTTGAGCAAGTTGGCAGTGGACGGTTGATGCAGGAAGACAGTTTGCAGTTGAGTAAGTTGACAGTTGACGGTTGGCAGTTCACCATTCATCCAGTTGCCAAATGGCGATTAAGCTGTTTGACTGTTAACCGTTGACCATTGACCGTTGATCATTGACCGTTGACAGTTGAACGTTGATAGTTGGTAGTTGAGAAAGTTGCCAGATGGCAGTTAAGCCAGTTTACAGTTGGTGGTTAAGCAGGTTGACAGTTGGTGATTTAACCATTCGATAGTTGGTGGTTGGGCAAGTTGACGGTTGACAGTTGACGGTTGACAGTTGACGGTTGACAGTTGACGATTGAGCAAGTTGACAGTTGGTGGTTGGGTAAGTTGACAGTTGACAGTTGACAGTTGACGATTGAGCAAGTTGACGGTTGGTGGTTGAGCAAGGTGGCAGAGCGCGGATCAACCATTTGACAGTTGGTGGTTTAGCAAGGTGCCAGATGGTTCAGCAAGTAAGCCAGCAAGCCAGTTGGCAGT